AGATTCTGAAGCATTTTATGTGTTTTTTATTGTATTAATCACTTTTCATTTCAAATGAGTGAACAGGTTATAAAATAACTTAAAAAATGAGACCTTCCCTGACTTCCTCTGCTGCCTGTGGACTGATTTATAGGTGTATGTAGGGATGAGGGCTGGATTTTCTGGGAAAAAAGCATTTTGCTACAGTAGCTAGCTAGCAATTAATCCACATTAGCTGACTACCTGGATAATAAACATCAATTGTAAACTAGGTAAGTAGCTGCAGTTTGCTGACAGTAGTTATCAGATGTAACTAAGCAGGTAAAGAATGATGTAGACTAGGCAATTAGCTGACTAATGAACTAACTCCACTTTCAAGATTAATGTAGATTATCTTACTAGTTGGCTTGTGTGTTGCTCTGAGCAAGCTAAGGTTAGCCAGCCAGATTAGACCCAAGAGTTTGGATGAAGCAATTTCTCCATGTTAGCAACCAAGCTAACATTATCCAGCTAGAAGCACAATCAGACAATATGTTCCACTAGCTTTGCAGTAATGTTAGCTTTGACTTTGACTCTGTGTTGTGGACTCTGTGTTGTGGACTCTGTGTTGGACTCTGTGTTGTGGACTCTGTGTTGGTGGACTCTGTGTTGGACTCTGTGTTGGACTCTGTGTTGTGGACTCTGTGTTGGTGGACTCTGTGTTGGACTCTGTGTTGGACTCTGTGTTGGACTCTGTGTTGGACTCTGTGTTGTGGTGGGTGTTGGTCGTTTGTAGTCGTTAGCAGACTCCATTTATAAACTAATGTTAGCTAGTGTTGCCCACTGTTGGCACTGTAGGGAAGCGGAGAAAGAAGGCACTCGGGAGCATAAAGGTCACAACCTTTGACCCTCATCCTACATAGAGACACATAGAGATCAGTCCACAGGAAGCAGAGGAACAAAGCTACACTACAACCTGTTCACTCACTGCTCACACACACTGATTATTATAGAGACAGAACAGGATTTACAATCTGACATATGGAAGCTTTACATACTGTAGATCTGAAACCTGGATCTGTTGTTTAACAGTATTCAGACGTAGTATTCGATGTTGTGTGTCAGTGTTATGTAGACGGACCATATGGGACTCCTACGAGACAGATCTTTGCGTCTGAACACGCTGTCCTGATCGGGGCTGGTATCGGCATCACACCGTTCGCCTCCATCCTGCAAAGCATCATGGAAAGGTGAGCTCCCAGACTCTGATGACTCAGACTCTGGTCACATCCTGGTTCCTAGTGCAGTACCAGTACAGCATCCAACAGCCTCCTTCCTCCAAGAGAGAAACTACATCTTCCAGCATTGTTCAGATGAGTAGAGGAGGGCTGAATAAAGCATCAGTTCTTTTTTTAGAACAACCCAACTCAAGGTGCACTTACAGCTTTTTCCTGAGCTCTCTGCTGCGTGGTGTGGTTGAAATACATCAACACTACACAGCTTCTGTCTCTCAATATGCTGGGGGTCGGACGCTCAGGTCAGAGTAACAACAAGGCAATTCAAAGTGCTTTACATAAAATATAAAAGACATCAAAACAAAATGTAAAGGCAAAATCCGGCAATATAAAATGACATTTAAACACAATTGTAAATGTGCATGTAAATGTGTGTGTCGTCTGCATAATGGTACATATTTTGTTAGTTTTCCATTATCGGAGCTAGAGGGAGCATGTAGATGTTGGATGAAAGAGGCGCCAGAAGGGATCCTTGGGGAACTCCACAGGTTATTTTTGTCCGCTCAGATGTGTAATAAAAAGTACAGTCAAAATCCTTAATTCACAGAGTTTGATGAGAAAATATCTGTGAAAGAGCTGCAATAGTCACAACTTAAGTGGACGGAAGAGGCCCCACAATTGTTGTTGTCCAAATTGTTTTCAATAGCATCCGAACGCATTTACTGACATTTAAATCTGATAATTTAACAGGATATAGCGGCTAGCTTATTGGGGTTGAATGTGTCACTGAGATCGAATAATAATACCAAGACTGAAATTCTTTCATTGTAGGCCGATAAAAGAATTAAAGTTCTTCAAATATGTGCGTAAAAATAACTTCATATGTAACTTTCTGTGATCCAGATACCGCAGGAGGAAGCAGAACTGTCCCAACTGTAACTACTCATGGTGTGAGAACATTAAAGACAGCGACATGAAGTTACGCAAAGTAAGAAAACCCCACAGAGGTTGAGTTGTTTCACTGCACACACATCAGGATGTAGTCTAATAAAGATGTGTCCTGCAGGTGGACTTCATCTGGATCAACAGAGACCAGAAGTCTTTTGAATGGTTTGTCAGTTTACTCACCAAGCTTGAGATGGACCAGGCTGACGAAGAGCCGGAAGGTGAGTGAGAAAGCAGTGAGACAGAGAGACAGACAGGTGGAGAGAGACAGACAGGTGGAGAGAGACAAATAAGAGGTCTAATGAGGCTCTGCTGCTGTCTCAGGTCGGTTCCTGGAGATGCACATGTACATGACGTCGGCTCTCAGTAAGAACGACATGAAAGCCATCGGCCTGCAGATGGCGCTGGACCTGCTGGCCAAGAAGGAAAAGAGAGACTCCATCACAGGACTGAGGACCAGGACCCAGCCTGGACGGCCTGAGTGGGGGAAAGTGAGCACAATAACAATATCAAAAAACATCTATTTATATCATTTATAAGAATATTTGTGATTAATTGATCATTTAACCAATAAAATATCAGAAAATACAACCAACATTTGGTCAAAACTGTGTTTGGTATTTTTATTTGACAAAAGACTTAATTTTCAATCAATCAGTGTATTGCTTCAGCTTTTCTCCAGTTTGTGTTTATTCCATTAAAATATCATTCACATATCACACCACTGTATAAATCCCACAGAAGAACCAAAACATGTCATGACGCCCCCTGTGGACAAATGCAGTAGTGTTTCTACCACCTCGTTTCTGTGATTTCCAATGGGAATCTGACCCGGTGGCAGACATTAAGAATAATAATGCATTCCCACCAAACATGAGGCGAATATTCGCCCTTTAATCTGTCTCACTGCTGCAGTTTGAGCCCCATAAACACTGATTTAATGTCAATAAACAGATCAATATGATGCTCAAATGCACATCATGATGGTGATTTAAAAGTCTGAATTCAGACTATTAAAATGCTTGTTTTCTGAATGGAGTTTGGTTGATCAGAGCTATGCTAACGTTAATAACAATAAAACCTGTGTTTTTGTTTCAGGTGTTTCAGAAAGTGTCTGAGGAGAAAAAAGGGAAAGTTCACGTGTTTTACTGCGGCTCTCCGGCTCTGGCTAAAGTCATCAAAGCTCAGTGTGAACACTTCGGCTTCAAGTTCTACAAGGAGAACTTCTGAGTGTGTGTGTGTGTGTGTGTGTGTGTGTGTGTGTGTGTGTGTGTGTGTGTGTGTGTGTGTGTGTGTGTGTGTGTGTGTGTCTGTGTGTGTGTGTGTCTCTGTGTGTGTGTGTGTGTGTGTGTGTGTGTGTGTGTGTGTGTGTGTGTTGTGTGTGTGTGTGTGTGTGGGTGTGTGTCGTGTGTGTCTCCGTGTGTGTGTGTGTGTGTCTGTCTGTGTGTGTGTGTGTGTGTGTGTGTGTGTGTGTGTGTGTGTGTGTGTGTGTGTGTGTGTGTGTGTGTGTGTGTGTGTGTGTGTGTGTGTGTCTCTGTGTGTGTGTGTGTGTCTGTGTGTGTCTCTCTGTGTTTGTGTGTGTGTGTGTGTGTGTGTGTGTGTGTATGTGTGTGTGTGTGTGTGTGTGTGTGTGTGTGTGCAATGAGTGTATTTAACTCCAAAGAATGTGTGAAACTGATTCTCAGCTTTTGTTTGTAAGTGACTCTAACTAGTTAAAGTTAAAGAAATGTGCCTGATGAAGTAGTTTATACTCTGTGTTTTGTTTCCACTGTACAAATCTAAATTATAAAATGATGTCAGAGTCACTTAAAATGATTATTGATCAAGAAATTAAAATGTTCAATGTGTATTAGTGTCAACAGGTTTTGAGTTAAATGAACGTATATGGTCTCTGTGTGTGTCTGTGTGTGTGTGTGTGTGTGTGTGTGTGTGTGTGTGTGTGTCTCCATAGCAACAGTGTGTTGTGTTTCCTGCCTGTTTGTAGAAGACGACATGTTAGCTGTTAAATCATATATGCACTGCTGTGGTTTTACTGACACATTGTTGTTGTTGTTGTTGTTGTTGTTGTTGTTGTTGTTGTTGTTGTTGTACTGAACCTGTGTAGATCTTGTGATGACTCTGTGTCTGTGTAGAGAATCAATCAGGTAATAAACTCTCTCTGATCTTCTTTCATTTGGATCGTTCCTTTATTTTTCCGTCCCTCGCCGTTACAGGAGAATCACTCTGGAAACTTCAGGGTTGTAATTTATTTTTATTTTTAAATAAAATAATATGTTCTTTGAACAATTTCACCTTCTAGAGCAATATTTGTTTTTAATCAATGACTCGTCCCATCTTTTTTATGTAACTTTATTTATTCATTCAGTTCATAATTACTGAATGAATTTGCTCATATGTTTAATGTATGGAAGCTTATTTCTGCCAATGAGAGGGAAAAAAGATTCTGTGAGTCATTATAATGAGAAGTTTCTTAATATTAATATAATAAGACTTATTATATCAAAATAACGAGAAACGTTCTTAATATTCTGATTAAGTCTCTCAGAATCAGTTTTTCTGTCACATTGGCAGAAATGAGCTTCCATATTAATGATTCTTATTTCTTTAATAAAATTAATAAAAGCGACCATTTACAGGCTTTCTAATCGATGCAAGAGCAGCCTCTTGCTGATGCAGATTATAGTCTGCCCACATTAGCATTAGCTAAATGGTAATGTAAAGGAGTGACCCATTAAAGAAGGCTGTGATAATGTGAGTGTTATTTGTTTACTGGGTCAGATCATTATCGTGTCTTTGTTGGAGAATGGAGCGCTGAGTTCTGCTGAGTTCGATCGGTTGTACTCGGCGCTCTGTTGAGGAGCCTGTGTGTCACGCAGTAGCGGTTTGCGGGCAGCTAGTGAAACATCGGACCAAAACCCGCATCTCTCCGCCTCCCGCACTCACAGTGGACGCTGTCCGTTGGTGTCAGTGGACGCTGCTCGTTCCAATAAGCGCTGAACACCGATGTTTGCGTCCGACTGCTTTTTATCCGCAGCGGCCACTTCCTCCGTCTCTGGCCGAGCTAGCTCAGCAGCTAGCATCCAGATAGCCTGTTAGCAGCGCCGCTGATGGCAGCGCCGGGGAGCGGGTCGGTGCGGGAAGGTAGGCCCAAAGCTCGCCTCTGTCCATCGGTACCGGGGCTGTAACGCCGGAGGGAAACCTCCATACTGTGTTTGTGTTCATGTGTCCACGCAGATTCTCTTCAAAGCTCCAGTCGGGTCGTTTTAACGCCGTTAGCTCGGAGGCTACATCCGGAATGGAGCTAGCTGTTTGGCTAGCTGTTAGCTGCTAATGCTAACTGTAATGTTAGCCAGAGGGAGATCCAAACACACCCAGCTAACACCCGCTGCTGCTCCTCACTGTAGCTAGTGACTATATCGATCACATATCGATCACATATCGATCACATATCGGTTCCACTGTTCAGTGTGGTTATTGATTATGCTGGATAACAATGAGTCTCTGTTACTAATGTTATTAGCACTGAAGCTCATTTCTTTACAAAGGGACAATGTGCATTGATGAACAGGAGTCCACTGTGTATTGATTACAGTATTGATTATAGTAGTAACTGTAATAATTAATGTCAGGCTGCTCATTAACAATGAAAGGAGATAAACAGAGAGAGAGAGAGAGAACATGAAATAAAGGAGTGATCAGTGAGACAGTGGTGATATTACAGAGAGAGGATTATTAGATCAGATATTATATGGATCTGACAGTATGGAGCAGTCGTAATGATTTTACCCTACAATGCTCCACTGTGGGCGTTACAGTCTCTGCTGCTGACATACATACATATATAAATATATAAATATATAATGCTGAGGTCATGTGTAATTACAGTGTTTATGTTTGCAGCAGGATTCATGAGTTACAATTATGTGGCAGTGAGATCTATATATATATTGATATATTGATATATTGATTCACAGTTGGTCTCTTATTGGAGTGTGATTCAGTAATCTGTGACACAAACAGCATTGTTCTGAAGTTCTGTCTATAAATCACAACAGTTTGTTACAGACCAACAAATATTAATGTTTATGGTTTCAGTGAAAATTGAACCTTGTGATACAGAACTGATCATTTACCAATAATCGTATCTCAGTATCGGTCAGATACCTTTAATCCTCTCTACCGTACGGTGCAGAGACAGATTGTGACCTTAAAGAAAGTCATTTTAGAGGAACTGTGTTTAGTTTTCTGTGTGAGGAACTCCCCAGCACTGAGATCTGCATTAATAACCCCCCAGCTCTCTGTTAACCCCCACCTCGTTAACCCCCAGCTCTCTGTTAACCTGTCTGTCAGCTCTCTGTTAACCTGTCTGTCAGCTGTCTGACGGTCGGTGGTTCTAAGATCAATACATTGGTAGTGAGGGTGGATTGATCACAGATTCTCTGTATGGAGTCTCAGAGTGTGGATTGATCGTAGGGTGGTTTTCATTATTGGTTACTGGGGCTGTATCAGGCTGCAGATTGTTATCAATAAACATATTGGTTATTGATTATGGTCTCCAGTAATCGGTGATTCTGTCAGGAACCTTCTGATATTCACTTTATTGGCACAAAAGAGAAGAAAAGCAGCAAATAATCACAGCTGATGAGAAAACAGCCGAACGAACGGAGGCCTCAGATTCATCAGTTACCATGGCAACGGTTGAAGCCTATAGTATTGTTAATATTCAGTATTTTCTTAAATGTTTGATTGGAACAAAGAGTCTAAATAAAATAAGAAAATGAATCAAATAAGAGAAATTATTAAATTGACTGAAAATGTTCTATAACAGATAGGGCTGGGCTGAAATGTATCACGATAGAAGTGTTTCATATCAGTCGATATTTTAACCTATTCTAAATGAGGACTAGGAGAAAAAAAGGCTGAGTTTAAATACTTTTATTTTAAACGTAACCTTTAACCTTTATAAAGAGGTCAACACAACTATGAAAAACAGTCAAATAAATAAACATACTGGTCAATGTGCAAATATAGACATTAAATAAATGCTTAATCCAACAAAATGTGCAAAGTATTTTGTAAATAAAAAATGAGTGTACACCTGAGGTAGAACTAACATCTTTGACATGTAACAGACAGTAATGTCTCAGTATCAAACCAGCATCAAATTATAAAAATAACTCAAGTGATGACAAAAGTGCTTTGCTGACAACATCTCCTTTTCCACAGATTCCTTGCACATCATGTAAAGTTTAGGAATAGCCGTCTTGGAAAAGTGCTTTCGGCCTGGTAGAATGTAACGGGGGTCAAGCACGTGAATAAGATTCTTGTACCCAGACTTCTCAGCGGTGCTGAGCGGGAGCATGTCCTTCGTTAAATGATACGCCACTGCATCCGTTATTTCTTTATATCGCTTTGATGTTTTGTCGTATGGCACTGCTGCCGTGTACCTCTCGATGGTGGTCTGTTGCCGCTTCTGTGTTGTTCCACTTGTACCGGCAGATGTCGATGGCTGTGGCTCTTTGAGGCTGCTGTACTCCAGCGGATGAGAGCGGCTGAGGTGATAAAATAAATGTGTTGTGTTGCCAGAATTGGCAGGGACGACGACCTTGGAAAGTTTGTAGACAACATCGGTCGGACTCAAAATAACCAAAATATTGCCAAACTGGTGACGTGACCTTTCCTTTTTCATCTACAATTACCTCTCGCGCTGTCGCACTCTATTCTCCTTTCACTCCACGCCGTTCTTTTTCTGTTGTTGTTGTTGTTTTTGTTGATGCCACCAACCTGGCTTAGCTGGGCCATGAAAGGTCGAGAGGCTAAAGCCCTTCCTCTGCCTACATCCCCCAGAATGACTTGCGGTTCTGGCTCGGGGTTTTCTTCCTATTTTTCGGAGTTAAAGTGAAATTATCGAATGTATTTTCTATTGATATTGATCACGTGTCTATCGCGATAGATATCGTTATCGTTTTATCGCCCAGCTCTAATAACAGATTTATATCACAGAGTCCTGATGCTGATCAATGAGTCCTGATCAATGAGTGCTGATGCTGATCAATGAGTGACATAAAGAGATCTCAGTTAGCAGTATTGATCAGTTTATAAGCAGCGTTATTTTCCTTCATTAGATGTTTGACACGTTTCACCTTCAGAAACTGTTTCTGGTTCAGATATTAAACATCAGCTGCTTCCAGCTTCTCACACAGGATCCAAAATTATCTTCTTGGCTCTTCCAAAGGAAGGAAACTGAGGAAATGTACCAGCCAACAATATTTTATAACTGCCTTTATATTTGATCCAGAACGTTGAGGCTCCTGCGTCGTTCAGACTCTCGCCAGAACACAGACCTCTGTGACTCCTCCTCTTCTTCATGTTGTCCTTTTTGGTGTCTTAACACGTCTAATATATCTAATATATAATCTGTACCAACTGATGCAGAGGAAGCTGCTTCGATTCACTGACGTTGGGATATGTACGGTGGGCAGTGAGGGTCACATTACGCAGTGATGTAAACTTCATCCTACGCTTCAATTCCAGTTTATTTCCCAGCCAAACTCAAAATACTCAGAATACTCAGAATACTCCCACATTTGCTGCTTGATGATGTTAATTTAGTCCGTTTATTGTCACAATGACAAGAAGAGCAGCAAATATTCCCCCTGAACCCGATTGTTGGACATTAAACAGACTTTTTCTGCCGATTGATTATTGATTATTAATGATCGTCTGCCTGTAGGTTAATGTACAACAGTCAGTTCGTCTACGAGACTCAGTCGAGGCATTTAAGAGGATTTTTAGACCAGATTATAAATATTACATTTTTTATTAAATCACAGTATATTGAAGAATTGTATCCCCTGTATCATGATACTTAGTAATACTTTAAGCCCTATTGGTTATTGATTATTGTCACCATTGATCGCTTGGTCTATTAAATGCTAAAACATAGTAAAACAGGTGACTTCTTTTAATAACTTATTTATATCTTATAAAATCAGCAAATAATCCCACCGGAACCAGAACCAATAAAGACTTTATGATCAATCACTGATCAATGGGGTGACTATAAGTTAGAATCAATAAAAGGTCTTGCTCATGGTGGTACTGTTGGGTCTCTATAATAATGTTATAAAGAGTTCGGTCTAGACCTGCTCTATTTGAAAAGTGTCCTGAGATAACTTCTGTTATGAATTGGCGCTATACAAATAAAATTGAATTGAATATTTGTTCTCGTGTTCCAACTTCCAGAATTCGACCCTGAACCACCGACTCACTGACCCCAGTGTGAAGCCATAAAATGAGTCAATAATAATAATAATAATAATAATTTATTTTCCTCTATCAAGTGAAAATGTGAACATTGTCAACATCAGCGTCTCTAATGTTCAGATTTGTATTTTCTGTTGAAACTCGACTGAGCAGAGAATCTAAGATCTGTTTTATGAGACCATAAACAATTATTCAGTGAATCAGTGAATCAATGGATCAGTGAATCAATGGATCAATGAATCAGTGGATCTTTATTTTATTTATTTCTCCCAGTGGACGTAGATTGAGAAATGCTTGTCTTTATTTGAACCACAATTATATATAAAAACAAAAATCAGGTGTTTAAATTGCTTCACTGAGCTGAAATTGAACATTTCAAACTCAAAATAAATAATAATTATTAATGATAATAATAATGATTACTCCTACCTGCTGCTGAAATGTAGCTGGGAGAGGGGTCACGGCATATCGTGTGTTTTTTAGACGTGTTTTTTTAAAGTTTCGATATGAAACGTTGTTGACCCGCTCACGAATGCACTATTTCATCCATATTCTGACCGCACTGCTGACAGTACACGCAGTGCGTTGCGTTACGTCCTTTGTTGAACCTCAGCCAGGGAAACTTGTTTCAGCCAGTCCTGTCTGAAGGAATATATTTTGGCCTTTTTAATTTGGGTCTCGGAGCCGGGCTCTATCCCAGATTCGTTGTCTCCTCCTCTGGTTCCGAGTCTGATGCTGTCGCTGAAGGACCGGGGCTTGGTATCTCACCAGGGACCGAGGGCCCCGTGTCTTGACGGGATGGACTCTCAGTAGTGGGGATGGATGGGATTATAGTAGTAGGGCTGGTTGTAGGCTTGGTTTTCTTAATGAAAAAACTTTCAATATTTCTGCCTCTCTTCATTTTCCCTCGTTTTGTCACGTTTATTTTATTTTCCATTTCAGTTCGTCAGCTATTCTCACGCTCAGGTTGCGCGCAATTTTTAACACACACACAACTTAGCGCGATGAACAGGACCACAGCCAATCAGAGGCAAAGACCCGCCCGAGCTCTGTCTCTTATTGGTTTAGAACCCGATATGATCCTACCATGAGTGAGAGTTCGCTCACAGGAGAACACAGAGAGATGATGTGGTATAAATGTATGTTTTCACCCGGGCAGCGTCAGGTGCTCCAGTGCGACCTAGAAAAATGATTAGTGGCACTCTTACAAATGTTGGTCGCACTCTGGAGCCCTGGTACAGATGAATTATTGGTTGATGACACAACCCTAACGGGGGGGGGTCGGAATATGATATCTGATCACATGTATTGGAAGCTGGAGCAACAAGTTTTTATTGATTTTAATTTCTAGTGATAAAGTAAGTAAGTAGTAATAAACCCATGGTCACATTAATGTGTGTGATCAATAAACCCACCTCCTGTCTCTCAGACTGAGACTCTGCATGGCGACGGACCGGCAGCAGCGGGAGTGAGCAGCCAATCAGCCTCCGGTAGCAACATGGCGTCCCGTCAGAGGAACTCGGTCCGGATCCTGTCGAGCCGGGAGCGAGGCTCCCAGACCTTCGGCTCCCAGAGGCTCCTGCAGCTGCTGGTGGAGGAGAAAGTCCGCTGGATGAAATGGCAGAGTCAGGTAACAACAACAACAACAACAACAACAACAACAACAACAACAACAACAACATCTTCATTGTGTTTGAGCCTCAGTTACCACCAGAAACTGAAAGCAGCTAACACACAGTCTCCTGTAAACAAAGGCTTCATCATAAACTACAAACATGTTATTGGGATTATATTGACAGATACTCTGATTATTGATTATTGACAGATACTCTGATTATTGATTATATTGACAGATACTCTGATTATTGATTATATTGACAGATACTCTGATTATTGATTATATTGACAGATACTCTGATGATTGATTATTGACAGATACTCTGATTATTGATTATATTGACAGATACTCTGATTATTGATTACTGATTATATTGACAGATACTCTGATTATTGATTACTGATTATATTGACAGATACTCTGATTAGTGATTATATTGACAGATACTCTGATTATTGATTATATTGACAGATACTCTGATTAGTGATTATATTGACAGATACTCTGATTATTGATTAGTGATTATATTGACAGATACTCTGATTATTGATTATATTCACAGATACTCTGATTAGTGATTATATTGACAGATACTCTGATTATTGATTACTGATTATATTGACAGATACTCTGATTATTGATTACTGATTATATTGACAGATACTCTGATTATTGATTAGTGATTATATTGACAGATACTCTGATTATTGATTAGTGATTATGACAGATACTCTGATTATTGATTATATTGACAGATACTCTGATTAGTGATTATATTGACAGATACTCTGATTAGTGATTATATTGACAGATACTCTGATTAGTGATTATATTGACAGATACTCTGATTATTGATAAGTGATTATATTGACAGATACTCTGATTATTGATTATATTGACAGATACTCTGATTAGTGATTATATTGACAGATACTCTGATTAGTGATTATATTGACAGATACTCTGGTTATTGATTATATTGACAGATACTCTGATTAGTGATTATATTGACAGATACTCTGATTATTGATAAGTGATTATATTGACAGATACTCTGGTTATTGATTAATTATTGACAGATACTCTGATTAGTGATTATATTGACAGATACTCTGATTATTGATTAGTGATTATGACAGATACTCTGATTATTGATTAGTGATTATGACAGATACTCTGATTACTATATGTTTCATTATTAGTGGGAATTAGAATTTTTACATCTTTACTGAAAAATGATTAAAATCGGGATGATTTTTCTTCCATCTGGAGAACAGGAAATGTAGAGCAGCACACCTGCAGCACCACAGTACTAATACATTCCCTGCTGTAGCAACAACAACAACAACAAACACAACAATAACAATAATAATAATATAGTTTGAATGGGCTTTAAACTTCCTCTTTGTTGTTGTGTGAGTAATAGTGACGTCAGTTATATCAGAGCTATAAATATGAATCTTCCATCTTCTCCTGATATCTATCTGCTGAAAACCCCCATAGGGAGTATCCGTACTGATAATCAATATATTGGTGCAATTGTCGACCCTATAACAGAATATAATAACTTTCTCCTCCGCTCTCAAGAACCCGTCTGTTTCTGGCTGCTAGCATTAGCTACTGTCGCTAGCTTCCACCTTCCTTTCCCACGGTTGCTCTCTGGGACTGAATTAGTGAATCTAAGCACTCGTTCTGTAACATAAACCAGGTTTTCTTGCGGTTCTGGTCCACGTTTGTAAGTGCGGTCTGCGGTGGAAACAAACAGCTGTGGGGTTCAGGTACATGTAGGTTCTGTACCGAGAGCTGAAGATCACCACAGAAACAGCGGCGAAGGAGTGAAGCAGTTCTGAAACTGAGAGCAAGAAACAAACGTCCTCCAGTTGCAGTCCGCCACTGACTGCACTCCGAGTTGAGCCAGACTCTTAATGGACAGTGCGTCCTCTCTGTCCCGCTCCACCAACACTGGCCTTATTGTGTGCATCGCTCTAAAGCCCGGGTCACACCACCACACTATTCAACGGCTGCCCAGTGAGGCCTGTTCAGAATACATGTCCATACTCAGTCCAGACTGCAGGGCAGGAACCAGAACCAGGATCACAACAACCCAGATCTGTCCCTCAGAAACAGTTCATTATGTGATAGCAGCATATGCGCTAATTATCTGTTTCTAAACTGACAACAACTCATCTCACCATGGTCCTCAACACAGAGCCACTCATTCACTGACGTTACTGACACAAACAGTGTTCTGATACAGGCACAGACACACTGAAGCCTCTTGCACCCCTACTTCGATCCGTGTGGACTGCGAGGGTCGGATCATCGCTGCATCGTCAAAAAGCTGAAAACAGGCTGTTGTTGTGACATTTTAGAGCTCTGTGGTTCTCACAGGACCGCCATGCTACAAACATATGATGATCTTAAGAATATGATGCATCGCTGCAGGCCTGGAATTAACTTACTTTTGGAGCACGGACACCTTCATAAATACACATTTATTGGGACACAACAGTATACATAGCATATAAAAACATCATTAGCTCCATGCACCTTTTAATCCAAAAACATCAGATATGAAAGAGACAGTGGAGTTGAACCTGTGGTTTGATGAATACTGTTCTTTATCTGCTTGCACTGTTTTATTTTCTCTACGTAGTTTAAATCCATTTAACTGAAAGTGTTTGTTTCCCGGACAGAAAGTGGAGCTGCCGGACAGCCCGCGCTCAACCTTCCTGCTGGCATTCAGCCCCGACAGGTGACAACATCCACACACACTCTCCAACTCTGGAAACGGTTTTATTTATAACATATGACTTTATTGATGATATTGATCAGTATACACTGTATCTTTATGGATGATATTGATCAGAATACACTGTATCTTTATGGATGATATTGATCAGTATACACTGTATCTTTATGGATGATATTGATCAGTATACACTGTATCTTTATTGATTATTGATCAGAATACACTGTATCTTTATGGATGATATTGATCAGTATACACTGTATCTTTATGGATGATATTGATCAGTATACACTGTATCTTTATGGATGATATTGATCCTGTATTGACAGTCAGACTGTGGACATATGACGGCCTTTAGCTCGTGTTTCTAGAGTTACGTGTTGTTACGAACACGTTAGGAATTGTTAAAATGTGATATTTCTTAAAGGGAGTTTGGTGCAGGGAGCTTTTAGTTGGATTCAAACTGCTGATATGGATCATTGTTAACGTTTAGTCTCCACTACAGAAACACTAGCTAACTGCTAAAGGCTGATCAGGTTGTCTGATGGTATCAGTTTGATTGATGCTTTAATAATGGGAGTATTGATTACTGATCAGGCTGATCTTTTTGCTGCTCATAGGACCCTCATGGCTTCCACACACGTCAATCACAACATTTACATAACGGAGGTGAAGACTGGAAAGTGCCTACATTCCTTAGTGGGCCACCGTAGAACCCCCTGGTGTGTGACCTTTCACCCCACAATCCCCGGCCTGGTGGCCTCCGGGTGCCTTGATGGTGAAGTCCGCATCTGGGACCTGCATGTGAGTACCCCCCTCTGAGTCTGAGTCACCAAGTACTTTAACGCCCCTCTGTATAATACCTCCTGCTGGATTAAAGTAATGTGATTCAGAATACCAATGTACGGGTTCCCAGTTGGTGCTGAAGTTAAGAACTTGTGCTGATGTGCAGTGATAACAGAGTTCTTCCTCATTCTTCCTGCAGGGTGGGAGTGAGAGTTGGTTCACGGAGAGCAATGTTGCCATTGCGTCCCTGGCCTTCCACCCGACCGCTCAGCTGCTCCTCATCGCCACCAACAACGAGCTCCACTTCTGGGACTGGAGCCGACCGGAGCCCTTTGCCGTGGTCAAGACGGGCAGCGACACGGAGAGAGTCCGGTGGGTTGGACAGACTATAACTGAGTATAACAGTTCAATAGTGAGGTTTGGTCCATATGTGGACCACTCTGTACCAATAGCATTCCTCTATCTCACTGTGGTGGACATTCATAATAAGAGTAACACACAGATTGAAACAACCCAGAAACAGAACAGTGTTAAATTACCATGAATGAAACTCCTTTTATGGCTTTTATTGTGAAAAGACACCAGGAAGTGTTCAGAGTACGGCAAAGAGGAAACAACTGCAGTCAGTATGAAAACATTGTTTTTATTGGATGGTGACAGCTGACAGAGAGAGAGAGACACACACACACACACACACACACACACAGAGAGAGAGAGACACAGGCACAGACAGACAGAGAGAGATAGACAGACAGACAGGATGATGTGCAGGTATACACATAGAGAGTGTGTGTGCAGTCTGTTGTACAGGTGAAGCTGTGTGAATAGACGTTACTGTACGTTACAGGTGATTCTGTGTTATTGTCAGACCTTTACTGGTTGTCCTGGTAACACTGGTGTTTCTCTGTCACATGTTTCAGGTTGGTGAGGTTTGACCCTCTCGGTCACAACCTCCTGACGGCGATCGTGAATCCGTCCAATCAGCAGGTGAGCAGTGTCACTGTGTGTCTGTGGTTAGTGGTTGGTTGAGCGGCGTGCTCACAGCTGTTCTCTGTCTTCCAGAACGAGGAGGACTCGGAGGTTCCTATGGACAGCGTGGAGATGCCTCACTTCCGCCAGCGCTCCTTCCTGCCTTCCCAACCGGTTCGCCGCACGCCCATCCTCCACAACTTCCTCCACATCTTGTCGTCTCGCTCCCCGGGGGCTCAGGCGGGAGGCGAGCAGCCGCGCCCTCTCGGTGAGAACGGAAGCAACGTTGGAGAATCTCCCAGCATGCCTCTGGCCCAGTACCCCAGCTCTGAGCGCGGGCCTCCCTTCCCGGGCTGCACCCAGCACCTGGGCATGGTCTGTCTGTGCAGTCGTTGCTCCGTCAACCGCAACCCCTCCCTGGCTGCCGGCGCCGCCCCCTCTGACCCCAGGGTGGCGTCTGACCCTCCCCAGCCCCCCCTGGCTTCCACGTTCTCCTCGGCCCGTACAGAGCCCAGACAGCCCTCAGAGCGACCCTCCGCCTTCACCTCGGTCTACTACAGCGCCGGCACTTCTCTGAATCTCACTGCGAGCAGCGGCATCGAGCCGCACTCCACCTCCAGACCGGGACCCGACTGGACCCGCAACCTGCTCAGTATGAGGGAGGGCGGGGTTGGTCCAGGTATGCTCCCTCCCAGGACCTCCTCTTCCTCCATCAGCCTGCTGTCAGTGCTCCGGCAGCAGGACGGATCCTCTCAGTCCCCCGTCTACACCTCGGCCTCTGAGGGACGGGGTTTCCCCCAGCAGGGAGAGCCGGGGGCCCGAGACGGCGCCGGTACGAGCAGCGGGCATCATCCGTTCTGGGATGGCTCTCGCAGCAACACGGCCTCCTTCCGCAACGTGCTGCAGTGCAACCTGAGCCGCTACTTCATGGAGTTCGACCGTATGCAGGACCTGGAGCCCTCACTGGGGGGCAGCATGGCGGACGGGGGGCAGGAGCAGAGCCAGGAGCTGCTGAATAATAACATGGACCCAGAGAGACCTGGGCCTTCCTCATCTTCCTCCACCTCCTCCCCCACCATCATCCACTACCAGCCTCCTCTCCCCCCTCCCCCTACCTCCCACAGCCTGGAGAACAATGTCCCTCCCCCGGCCTCCCGGGGCCATCTGAACCGCTGCCGGGCCTGCCACAACCTGCTCACCTTCAACCACGACTCTCAGCGCTGGGAGCGCACCAACCAGGCCTCCTCCACCTCCGCCTCTTCTCTGGAGCCCTCCTCCTCCTCTTCCTCCTCGTTCCCTCCCTCTTCTTCCCCCTGGCAGGCTGAGGAGGGCAGGAGGACGCTGGAGGTCCAACCCCAGGAGAGGAGGGCGCCTCCGGAGCCCAGCGAGCAGCCGCCTCCCCCTGTAGGCGGAGGAGCAGGAACTGTGGCCTTCCCGATAGCGCCGACCCCCAGCCAGCCCGCAGAGCAGACGGTGGGCCTGGTGTACAACCAGGACACGGCACAGTGGGAGAGGGTGTACCGGCAGGCCGCTGCTGGCAGAACGGCAGAGCCACCGGAGGCCTTAAGCCAAGAAATGCCTGTTGACCCCCCAGACGAGGACTCCCTGAGGAGGTACGATGTGTTTAATAGCAGCAGACTCAGTAGAAGCTCTGGGGAAGGTTATGTCTCTGTTTCACAGCCTGTTCATGGCTGCAGGGTGAGTTCAGTTTTTATCGTCTGTCCTGTTTCTGTCATACAGGCGACTGTTGGAATCATCTCTGTTATCCTTGTCTCGCTACGACATGTCCGGATCAAGAGACCATCCCATTTACCCCGATCCAGCCAGGTACTGTACTGTACAGCGGTGGCCCCAACCTTTTCCTTCAGGGAGCCTTTTCTTTCATTAATAAACTGACTGAGTCACATATTTTATCGATATTTCTATTATATTCAAACTGTACAATGAACCAAACAGTGAACTCAGTAACTGCAGGAAGTTTGTGTAAAACCAGCGATGGATGTATTCTGATTATTTCTTGTTTAGGGAACTTTTTATACAATTCTCTGTCTGTATTATTATTATTATTATTATTATTATTATTATTATTACAGACAAGCTTCTTTTTGACAGATTCACTGTTTTCTTGTCCCTGACGCTCTATTAGACAATTAATTCGTTTTCTCCACAGAAGTGAACCTAATGCTGATATATAGGCCCACGGTGTATATTTTTAAAGTTTGGAAACACTGGAAATTGATCAAATATCCTGTAAAATGTTTATTGTATTTTATCCCCTCACTGAGATTACATAAACACTTGAGTGCTGGTAGGATAAATCGACTCCTGTTAACTCAACTACAGTGCTCCTGCTCGCTGTAGCTGTAGTGCTTCCATGTGCTGGAGGTTGTGACTGATGAAGGCTTGTGCCTTGTCCTTTTGTGAACTGCACAGTCAGCAGTTGCAGTCTTTGGAAAGGCCGACTCTGTTCTACAACTTAATACGACCTTGTACTTATTTAGTTGAACAGTTGGGCTGCAGGACTTCTTTTTTTGAAATGACTGCCTGCTGTACACGCTCTGTAATACACATACTTCTCATTACAGTGGATGAAAGAGGAAGTTCCTGTGCCAGGGCAGAAAGCCAGGGGTCATTGAGTTTGTAGACACTCTGTTCCCGTAGAAAGATTAGATTGGACACAAAGAACAACAAGTCTAATGAGGCTGAGGAGGTTGAAACCGTACTTTATCCACACAGAACCGTCTCTACTGACCGCCCCAGTCTCACCTTTAGTTTGTGGTTGAAATAACCAGGCTGAACTCGTCCTCTGTGCTGTCCAGGCTTTCTCCAGCCGCGTACTACGCCCAGAGGATGATCCAGTATCTGTCGAGGCGGGACAGCATCCGCCAGCGCTCGCTCCGCTACCAGCAGAACCGCCTGCGGGCCATGTCGTCTTCGTCCGACAGCCCCGCCAGCAACCCGACCAGCTCCATGGACAACAGCGACGTGGACTTTGAGGAGCTGGAGTAAGTTTTCTCTTCTTTCTGTGGACTCGGTACTCCTGTTCCACCTTTAATGTTAGTAAGGATGTTCAATCAGAGTGGAAACCAACTTAATGTTGTTAAGCTGTAGATACTAAATCTGAAAAACCCTATTGTTCACAAGCTACTTGCTCCAAGTGCATAAGCCTAAATTATTGATCTGGTATGGTTAAGTCTGACACAACCAGTTGGAGGGAGAACAGCGTCTCTTCCTAATATATAACCAACACTCTGTATTAAAGCAGTGCTTGTAGTTTCTTCTATGTAGCTTTACCATTTTCTTTTTCTAGTGATAATGGAGACAGAGCAAGACACAGGACGCCACGTAACGCCAGGATGTCTGCACCCTCGCTGGGCCGCTTCGTCCCACGGTGAGTCAGCTGTACCTCTTCTTCTTTCATCAGTAATGATCCTTAAAATGAATGGATACGTGAACTTTCTTTTCTCTTTGGTGTTCTCCTCCAGGCGGTTCCTCCTCCCCGAGTACCTGCCCTATGCTGGGATCTTCCATGAAAGAGGGCAGCCCGGCCTGGCCACACACTCCTCTGTCAACAGAGTGCTCGCTGGTAAATAAACAAACACACACACACACACACACTTTGCACTGCTACCAAAAACACAATTTTAGGTTTCATCAGCAGCTACGATGCTGATAGACTTCGGTGCACGTCGTTTCTCTGTATGAACACCCACAGTGTTTGACTCACAGCGTTTCCTCTTTCTCAGGTGCATCCATCGGGGACGGTCAGTCTGCAGTCGCCAGCAACATCGCTAACACCACCTACCGTCTGCAGTGGTGGGACTTCACCAAATTTGACCTGCCTGAGATCAGCAACGGTACAACCTCACCGCACTGTCCACTTTACCCTGCAGTCACTGGTCTGCGTATTGATGAGTGTCTGTTTGTGTCTCCTGTCCAGCATCGGTCAACGTTCTGGTGCCAAACTGTAAAATCTACAACGATGCCAGTTGTGACATCTCTGCAGACGGTCAGCTGCTTGCGGTCTTCATTCCCAGCAGTCAGCGGGGTTTCCCAGACGAGGGCATCCTGGCCATCTACTCCCTGGCTCCCCACAACCTGGGAGAGATGCTCTATACCAAGAGATTCGGTACAGTGTCCCTCTGAAGTTCAGCATCCATCAACTAACACCTCAGTTACTCTACACAGCGTTAAAGGTCGTCAGAACGTGGTTGATAATGATCCTGATCAGCCAGCGTCAGTAATCAATACCCACATTAATAAAGCATCAATCAAACTAAACAACCTGATCAGCCTTTAGCAGTTAGCTAGTGTTTCTGTAGTGGAGACAAAACATTAACAATGTTATAAAGAGTTCGGTCTAGACCTGCTCCATTTGAAAAGTGTCCTGAGATAACTTCTGTTATGAATTGGCGCTATACAAATAAAATTGAATTGAATTAGCAGTTTGAATCCAACTAAAAGCTCCCTGCACCAAACTCCCTTTAAGAAATATCACATTTTATCACATTCATCAATAAAGATACAGTGTATACTGATCAATATCATCCATAAAGATACAGTGTATACTGATCAATATCATCCATAAAGATACAGTGTATACTGATCAATATCATCCATAAAGATACAGTGTATACTGATCAATATCATCTATACAGATACAGTGTATACTGATCAATATCATCCATAAAGATACAGTGTATACTGATCAATATCATCAATAAAGATACAGTGTATACTGATCAATATCATCTATAAAGATACAGTGTATACTGATCAATATGATCAATAAAGATGTTCCTCCTTCAACAGGTCCTAATGCTATCTCTGTTAGCTTGTCTCCAATGGGCTGCTATGTGATGGTGGGTCTGGCCTCTCGCAGGATCCTGCTGCATCCCACCACCGACCACATGGTGGCGCAAGTCTTCCGCCTACAGCAGCCTCACGGGGGAGAGACTTCCATCAGGGTGAGACACTGTGGTTGTTACTCCCACAGTTAATGATACAGCCAGCACTGATAATACTCCAATATATCAATATATCAATATATATGAGTGATATAGGTATAAATATATGCAGAGGTCAAGGTTGTATTGATGAGGAGTGAAGGAGAGCTGGAAGAAATAAACTTCCTCCTTTTCCAGCATGAAAGATTTTATTTTGTTTATGAGATTATTGTTCATTTCATTTGTCATTTGTCTTTGTTTCACATGTTAAATATAATCAAAATGTACCTAATATCAACACAGTCTGAGTTGTTTATTACATTAATTATATATTAGGAACTAATGTGTAACTGATACTGCTTTAATGCTTCAGTGAATCACTTTATTTGTTCCTGAACTGAACGTTGTGCTGCAGTCAACGTTAACGCACATGAACGCATCATAGAAATATATAAATGTTTAAAAAGTTAGAGTTTTATTGTTTTATTATGTTGTGTTTGTAAGAGACATAAATGTGCAGTCAGTGTAATTAGTGTTGATCTGGTTGAGGGTGGAGTAAATCTGTTACAGCTGAAACAATTAGTCACTGAATCCGTCATTAAAATGTAGCATGTGGATTTATTCCCAGCTGATTACTGATCATTTCAGTTTTATATTTTCAAAATACGTTGGTAACCTGGAGTTTTACTCACTTGATGACGACAACAACAACAACAACAACAACAACAGCAACAACAACAACAGCAGCTGTGACTCTGGAAATTTATTTTCTAGTAAATTTCATCAAAAAACTTCTTGATAGACTTTATGTTGTATAATTATTAAATGAAACCAATAATTTATAATATTATCTTCCATCCCTAAAAGTGAACTGACAACCTATAATGAGTTTATTATTTCTGTAGCAATAATATGAGATGTTCACCGGCCTGTAGATGTGGGTGAGGGTAACTGAATCCTCCTACTGGACCTTTAAATGGATTATGCAGAAAGTAATCAACACATTCATTAATAAATCCAATTAAAATCATATCATTGATAATTCCACTTCCTTGTTTTCTTCCTCAGAGTTTGAAACATTTGAATGAGGCAAAAGTAGTTTTTAGTTGTGATGTTTGTGTTGAGAATATCCTGTTCAATCTGCTGCTGTGTTTCAGATGGTGTTCAACGTGGTTTACCCCATGGCTCCAGACCAGCGGCGCCACGTCAGCATCAACTCCGCCCGCTGGCTGCCGGATCCGGGGATGGGTCTGGCTTATGGAACCAACAAGGGAGACCTGGTCATCTGTCGGCCTGTGTGAGTCTCCTGCAATATATTGCAATATAAGCACTTCATGGCTTATATTGGTTATAGATTATTATAACATGTTAATGCTCACACAGAGTCACTGCTGGGAGTCAAACCTGTGACTGTAACCACCAACCCTCTGCCTGTAAGGACAGAAACATGAGCAGCCTTTGCTGACATCTGGTGAAAGTAATGTAACATTATATACAAGCAAATGATACAAACCTGAGTTAATGATTAAAAGTCGTCATCAGTTATGGAGTCGGTCTCCTCTGAACTCTGCACTGATGGAGGTTACGTCTGATTGTTCGCTAACGTTACAGGATATCAGTAACATAAGTTTCCAGCTTATCAAGTTAACTGATTTACAAACTAATGTTCTTGGTCAGAATCAGTTTTATTGGCCAATAAGTGTTTTATATACAAGGAATTAACCTTGGTTTATACCTGGTGCATAACATGACTATGATTTAAATCAATGAATAAAGATTTGGGTCATTCATAAATTCCATTACTCTTATTATTTATCAGTCCTTTTTCTCTTAACAAATAAAAAATAACCAATAAAAGTACAATTAAAGTAGCAGATGTATGTGCAGTATGAGTAAGAGTAGTAATAACATTAAAATATTAGCGATACTCATTCCAGTGAAGATATAGGAGAATAATGTCAGTAATGAGAGATTATAAATGATGAATATAATGAACCAGCTGTGGTTAAGTTGCCTGTTTGAGGAAGGAATCTAACTGAAGATGTGTTTCTGTAATGTGAGCCAGTATGAACATCTCAAACATTAGAGGAGTGGTGATGAAGAGCTCTTACTCCTCGTTCTAAAAGTAGCACCTAAAGTGAATCTTTGTCCCGTTAGGAGTGATTGTTCTCCTCCGATCTGCTCGATACGCTCTCTCCTCCTCTTCTCTCCTCCTCGCTGCGTCCTCAACACAACAGCTCAAAGTGCTGGAGCCAATACAGATGTTGGCTCCATTATCTGTTGCTGGGTTTCCCTTCCACCCCCTCCACAGCGAGCTGATGTGATTATCCTGATGGTCAATCTGAACAGGAAGAGCATTAATTGGAGGAGCTCAATTAGAACGTTTAATGAGGTCGTGGTCTGTGTGATTCCACGAAGAAATCCCTCCTCTGCTTTTAGACTTCCTGAATGAAGTCAATTAACCAGCTGTGTGTGTGTGTGTGTGTGTGTGTGTGTGTGTGTGTGTGTGTGTGTGTGTGTGTGTGTGTGTGTGTGTGTGTGTGTGTGTGTGTGTGTGTGTGTGTGTGTGTGTGTGTGTGTGTGTGTGTGTGTGTGTGAGTTTCTATAGAAGTGATGGTGAGAGCCCCGCGGAGTCGAGCAGCGAGCCTTTATTCTCCGTCAACAACAGCGGAACCAGTCGGACCCGAGGTTCTGACAGACCGGGGTGAGAAGCTCCTGTCTCTGTGTCACACTCACATTGTTTAAATTGTTTATTACCGTAAAACTTCTAATAATAGCCCAGGCGTTTATTTGCTTAAATCACTGAACTCCCCCTGCCTTTATTTGGGACGGGCCTCTATTTGGGACAGGCCTTTAATTCCTTTAGCACTAAAATAAACTAAACTAAACTAACTGCTGCTTCTCTTGAGTTTTGTTCAGCAAATTTGACAACTAACATGATGATTATGATGCTTCAGAGGTTTTCCGTCTCTCTTGTTTACCATGTTACCGGTAAGTCAGAATGAATTAACGTTAAACTTTGTTGTTGATCGTTTTCGTAAAATATTTTATACGATTGCATTGTGGAGAATCTGTAACTGATCTAATGATGTTCATTATGTACATACTGACAGAAGTTTTAACATTTATATTTGTGTAGGAGATTGAAATGACTTAAAACTCGCTCAAGCAGGCGACCCGGTGGATTTTAAGAGGTTTTATACATCAAGATAATTTCTATAAAATCCAGACCAGGCCTCTATTGGAGACCTGCGTTTATTTGTCAAAACGTGTAGCCACACCAGGCTTTTAAAAGAGACCTGCGTCTATTAGGGACCCTGCTTTTATTGGAAGTTTTACGGTATTATTATTTACTGTTTGTTGTTGACAGTCTGAGGTGTTCTGATATTACTGATGAACATGCTGTTGCAGCAGGTAAAGTCCTTACTGGTACTCTGATGTTGTTTCAGGCCGAACCGCTCCGGCTGGAGACTGGACAGAGACATGGGTCTGATGAACGCAATTGGTCTTCAACCCCGACACCCCGCCCCCTCCGTGACATCACAGGGAACCCAGACGCCAATCATCCAGCTGCAGAACGCCGAGACGCAAACAGAGAGGGACCTATCAGAGCCCAGCGTCTCCCAGACCGCACTCAGTACTGAAACTCTATAATACTGCATTATATACACAATATATACATAAACTCAGTACTGAAACTCTATAATACTGCATTATATACACAATATATACATAAACTCAGTACTGAAACTCTATAATACTGCATTATATACACAATATATACATAAACTCAGTACTGAAACTCTATAATACTGCATTATATACACAATATATACATAAACTCAGTACTGAAACTCTATAATACTGCATTATATACACAATATATACATAAACAGTCGAAACCAAAACATTATATAACAATATATACATAAACTCAGTACTGAAACTCTATAATACTCATTATATACACAATATATACATAAACCAGTAATGAAACCTATAATAGCATTATATACACAATATATACATAAACTCAGTACTGAAAAGTTTTGTTGATCCTGGTCTTCGCTCTCCTCCTCAGTTGTTCCCCCTGAGACTCCCTCCACAAGTGGATCGGCTCCGGGACAGCTGGAGGCTCAGCCCGGTAGAGCTCAGGACGGCAGCCAGGGTGAAGGTTCATCAGAGGCCAACACGTCCACAGCTAGTACTGGTACTGCTCCACTGTCTGCCACACAGCCACACTGAGGGTTTACCACCACTTTATATTCACTTTGTCTTCTGTTGTGTGTTCAGTTTGTGCATGAGAGTGGAAACGTGTTCTGTGTCTGCTGCAGTCTCCACGTTGTTTCTTTACAACAGAGTCTGGATTGGAATTAATATCCTGTTTGATGAGATGATATAAACTCTCTGCTTTATGGTCTCTGTTAGAGACACAATGTGAGTAACTGTCGTGTCCTGGTCTCGTTGGTCCAGCAGAGTCTCCGGAGTTCGGCTCGGGTGAAGACGCTCTGGCACGAATCCGCCGGCTGATTGCGGAGGGCGGGATGACGGCGGTGGTCCAGCGAGAGCAGAGCACCACGATGGCGTCCATGGGCGGCTTCGGGAACAACATCATCGTCAGCCACCGCATCCACCGCGGCTCTCAGACCGGCACCGGGGCCTCCAGGCCCACAGCTGACCCCGCAACCCCCTCCACCTCAGGTCCCCTCCTCATCGCCCCCCCGCAGGCTTCCAACCCGGCCGAACAGCTCGCTCCCATGTGGGGCCCCCAGGTGCTGCCGGGTCCCCGGCCCTCCGGCCTCTCTCTGGCCGTGGACATGGACGACGTGTTCGACGGGGGCCGAACGGACGACGACTCCCTGCCGGGGCCCTCCTCTTCCTCCCTGCTGTTGTCTTCCCCCTCCTCTTCCTCCTCCTCCTCTCACAGCCCCCTCCCCGATGGCGGGGTGCCCCCCCCCAACAGTTACCCTGGCGACCCGTACAGCAGGTAGGAGCTGGTGGGTCAGCAGGGGGCGCTCCTCGAAGCCTTATCTCTCAAAGAAATGGGTGCTGCTTTGACTCTGCACAGGGTCTCCCGCCTGGAAAAGAAGGGACTCAAGAACCCCTCCTCACCCCCCCCTCACCCCCGTGTGCACTTCCTCCGCACTTAAACCGGACTGAAGCCGAACCGCCATCATTCCTCGCCAGAAAGGGCTCCTACTTGAACGGGGGCCAGTCAGCTGAGCTCCTCTCTGCCCGGGGCGAGGGCCGAGGGAGGGGGGGGTCACATTTACTCCAACGTGCTGCATTCGGTGCCATGTGATGTTTGATGTGAAATAGTGTTTGATTGAAGTGTTTCCAAGTGAATTCAGCACTACTTTATTTGGTTTTTGTACTGTGTGTAATTATGATGTTTGAGAACTGGACTCGACGGAGGACACGCCCCCCCCCCCCGAGGAGAACTGAATCATGGAGTACTGAACGGACCCGAGACTGAACGGACCGAGTCTGCTGCATGCTGCAGGTCATCAAATAAACACTTTGTTTTAAAGAGGACAACCCTTTCCTGTCGGGGGAGAGAGAGAGCGAGGGGGGGGGTTCATCATGCCCTGCTCCAAAACCCCCCCGCCCTCTAATACCCTCCCAACCCAGTTGCACTATAGTGTGTTCGGTGCTACCAGTGCCTGTGTGTGTGTGTGTGTGCGTGTGTGTGTGTGTGTGTGTGTGTGTGTGTGTGTGTGTGTGTGTGTGTGTGTGTGTGTGTGTGTGTGTGTGTGTGTGTGTGTGTGTGTGTGTGTGTGTGTGTGTTCTTTTCCACTGCAGGAAAAAAACTAATTTGGTTTCCAACAATTATGAAAACGTTCGACGTTAGATATCGGCTGTGGACGTATTCGCACCAGATTAGCCGCTGTGGAGATTAGCGTGCGGTTGCTCTCAGAATCCCACCAGGCGTGTCCCTAATGTTAGCTTAGTAGCTAGCTGATTTACATTAATTGTTGGTTTGTTTTTGCTAATGTAGATTTGTTAGCTAGCCTTGTATTCACTAGCTTACAAGCCACCTACCTAGCTAGTTAACCACTGATGTATATTAGCTAGTTTGTTTGTGGCTGGCTAGCTTAGCTACAACAATCCTTAGCTAGCTAGTTGCAGCTAATAGCTAGGGTGGTTGGCAAAACGCTTGTTAATCACATCAGTCGTTAACTAGCTGGTTAGCTAGATGTGACTGTCTATCCTTTAACCACCGGCGCGTCCCAGCAGCAGCGTCTCTCCACACGGAGCAGATCTCACTGACAGGAAGTCAGACAGAGGTTCCAGTCATCTTCAAAATAAAATACCAGACAGGAAGTCGGGACAAATACACGTGTAAACAAGAGACCACACACAGAACCTGAAGGCGCTCTGAAGACGCCCTGAAGGCGCCTGAAGACGACCTGAAGGCGCTCTGAAGGTGCTCTGAAGACGACCTGAAGACGCTCTGAAGGCGCTCTGAAGACGCCCTGAAGACGCTCTGAAGACGACCTGAAGACGCTCTGAAGACGACCTGAAGACGCTCTGAAGACGACAAGACGCTCTGAAGACGACCTGAAGACGCCCTGAAGGCGCTCTGAAGACGCCCTGAAGACGCTCTGAAGACGCCCTGAAGACGCCCTGAAGGCGCTCTGAAGACACCCTGAAGACGCTCTGAAGACGACCTGAAGACGCTCTGAAGACGACCTGAAGGCGCTCTGAAGGTGCTCTGAAGACGCCCTGAAGACGCCCTGAAGACGCTCTGAAGACGCTCTGAAGACGCCCTGAAGGTGCTCTGAAGGTGCTCTGAAGACGCCCTGAAAACGCCCTGAAGACGCTCTGAAGACGCTCTGAAGACGACCTGAAGGTGCTCTGAAGACGACCTGAAGACGCTCTGAAGACGACCTGAAGACGCCCTGAAGACGCCCTGAAGGTGCTCTGAAGACGCCCTGAAGACGCTCTGAAGACGACCTGAAGACGCCCTGAAGGCGCCCTGAAGACGCTCTGAAGACGCTCTGAAGACGCCCTGAAGGCGCCCTGAAGACGCTCTGAAGACGCTCTGAAGACGACCTGAAGGCGCTCTGAAGACGACCTGAAGACGCTCTGAAGACGCTCTGAAGACGACCTGAAGACGCCCTGAAGGTGCTCTGAAGACGACCTGAAGACGCCCTGAAGACGCCCTGAAGGTGCTCTGAAGACGCTCTGAAGACGCCCTGAAGACGCTCTGAAGACGACCTGAAGACGCTCTGAAGACGACCTGAAGGCGCTCTGAAGACGACCTGAAGGCGCTCTGAAGACGCCCTGAAGGCGCTCTGAAGACGCCCTGAAGACGCTCTGAAGACGCCCTGAAGACGCTCTGAAGACGCTCTGAAGACGACCTGAAGGCGCTCTGGTCGGTTGGGATTAGCCCGGTTGGGATTAGCCCGGTTGGGATTAGCCCGGTTGGGATTAGCCCGGGTTGGGATTAGCCCGGTTGGGATTAGCCCGGGTTGGGATTAGCCCGGTTGGGATTAGCCCGGGTTGGGATTAGCCCGGGTTGGGATTAGCCCGGGTTGGGATTAGCCCGGTTGGGATTAGCCCGACCGCGTCTGCGTCATAAAACGTCGCCTGGTGGAATTTTAGGGGGAACCGCTGTGAAAATAGGGTTTGTCCGATGGAGCAGCTTTGTCTCGGCCACCGATCCTCCAGCTGCCTCAGGCTCAGGCACACAAACACACAGTGGAGTCATACTGGGGGGGGGCTGCACATAGCATTAACTTTTATTTGTTTGTCAGTAGAATTATATTTAAAGTTCAAATCTTCTGTTCAAGACTCGTTTTTAAAAAAAGTTCAATAAATGCATGATCATGAATGTTGACCAAAATAATTCTGATTTTTGCCGTAACTGAACAATAATGAAACCCAGTTCCCACAAAGTCCTGGAGCTCCTGGAGGAGCAGGGACTGTAATAAAGTGATAATGTTTGTTATGAGCTCCTCTCTCAGATTGCAGTCAGTGGAACCGCAGGAAGTAGACCGACAACCAGCTCCAGGACGTCTCTGTTCGGACGCACGCGGTAGATCGCTCTGGTTAATATTACCTGCATCAGAGCTGTGACATCACTTCCTGTTATGGGATGGTCTGGTTGAACGGAGGCGTGTGAAGTGAGCGAAGCTTCAGAGGACGTTTGATTCCTGATACTTAAAGGAACATATTAATCATTTGAATTAGAAAAAGAAATGAGACTGAAGACGATTTAAAACTTCAATTTATTTTCTTTATCAAATGAAAGAATCTGTTTATTTCTGAGATAAACAACAACAACAACAATCTGGAGGAGATATTTCGTACGTTACGGTTCGTCCTCAGTGGACCCTGCATAAGCCACGCCCCCTTTCTCCTCTCTGCTCCAATCACAGTTGAGCAGGCCTCGACTTCCTCCTTTTACTGTATTTAGAGATGCTATATGCTATATGCTAATCTGTTGGAAAGTCAACCACATTTTGAAGATTGTTAAAAAATAAGAGACGTTTAAGTTCGCTAATGTTAGCAGAATACAGCTAATGTTAGCAGAATACAGCTAATGTTAGCAGAATACAGCTAATGTTAGCAGAATACAGCTAATGTTAGCAGAATACAGCTAACTAGCTAATTGATAATGTCGATTAGTAGTGTTTTATTCTGTACACAAGGCTAGCTAACTAGCTAATCTACAGCTAATCTTAGAGAGCTAGTTACATCTAATAACTTATCTAGCTAACTAATTACTTATAAAGAGTGACAGTATCATCTTAAGGTAGCTAGCCAAACTTAGCTAATATGTCTCTTTTACCTTTTAACCATCTTTATGATGTTCAGCACAGATTAGCTTAGCATTTAGCATTTAGCATATCTAAGGACAGGAAAGGAAGAAGTAGATTGAGGCGAGCTCGACTGTGATTGGAGCACAGAGACCTCGTTAAGGTCCTGCGGTGGAAAAGTTCTATGATTGGTATCTCCACACTAAACCCCGCCCCCACGCCATGCCCCCCCCATACAAGCCCCGCCCACCCACAGCCCCGCCCCCTCTCCTCTCCCTTCAACCTCCTGCAAAAGAAAACTTGAATTCTTTGATCAACTTTTACTTTCTGAGACTGTACAGACACACACACACACAGTAACACACAGACACACACACACACACACACACACAGTAACACACACACACACACACACAGTCACACACACACAGTCACACACACACACACACACACACAGTAACACACACACACAGTAACACACAGCCACACACACACACACACACAGTAACACACAGACACACACACAGTAACACACACACAGTCACACACACACACACACACACACACACACAGTAACACACACACAGACAGTAACACACAGACACACACACACACACACACACACACACAGACACACACACAGTAACACACACACAGTCACACACACAGTAACACACAGTAACACACAGACACACACAGTAACACACACAGTAACACACAGTCACACACACACACAGACACACAGACACACACACAGTAACACACAGTAACACACACACACAGTAACACACACACAGTAACACACACACAGTAACACACACAGTAACACACACACACACACACACAGTAACACACAAAGCACACACACAGACACACACACACAGTAACACACACAGTAACACACACAGTAACACACACACAGTAACACACACACAGTAATACACACACAGTAACACACACAGACACACACACACACACACAGTAACACACACAGAGCACACACACACACACACAGTAACACACACACACACACAGTCACACACACACAGTAACACACACACACAGTCACACACACACACACAACACACACAGTAACACACACACAGTAATACACACACAGTCACACACACACACACAGTAACACACACACAGTAACACACACAGACACACACAGTCACACACACACACAGTAACACACAGACACACACAGTCACACACAGTCACAGACACACAGTAACACACACACACAGTAACACACACACAGTAATACACACACAGTAACACACACAGTACACACACACGCACACAGTCACACACACACACACAGTAACACACACAGTCACACACACACACACACACACAGTAACACACACACAGTCACACACACACACACACACACACACACAGTAACACACACACAGTAATACACACACAGACACACACACACACACAGTAACACACACACAGACACACACACACACACACACAGTAATACACACACAGACACACACACACAGTAACACACAGACACACACAGTCACACACAGTCACAGACACACAGTAACATACACACACAGTAACACACACACAGTAATACACACACAGTAACACACACACAGTCACACACACACACACAGTAACACACACACACACACACACACACACACACACACACACACAGTAACACACACACAGACACACACACACACACACACAGTAACACACACACAGTCACACACACACACACACACAGTAACACACACACACACACACACACACACACACACAGTAACACACACACAGTCACACACACACACACACAGTAACACACACACAGTCACACACACACACACACACACACAGTCACACACACAGACACACACAGTAACAGACACACACACACACACACACACAGTCACACACACAGACACACACACACACACACACACACAGTAACAGACACACACACACAGTCACACACACACACAGTAACACACACACACACACACACACAGTAACACACACACAGTCACACACACACAGTAACACACACAGTCACACACACACAGTCACACACACACACAGTCACACACACTCACAGTCACACACACACACTCACACACACACAGACACACAGTAACACACACACACAGACACACACAGTCACACACACACACACACATCACACACAGTCACACACACACACACACACACGTCACACACACAGTCACACACACACACACTCACAGTCACACACACACACTCACACACACACACACAGTGTAAGTTGAGTATGTTACAGTGGGGGGGGGGCACAGTGTGTGTGTGCGATTGGAGCTTTTTTTATTTTTTATTTAACCTTTTATTTCCTGCAGGTGAGATCAGGGATCTCGTTTCCATGGCGACCTGGCAGCGACAGACAAACACAGCAGGTGATCAGAATGCTCCTCCTGGCTTTACTTGATCAATGAACATTTGAACCCTGAGTGTGTGTGTGTGTGTGTGTGAGACGCACCGCCGTGTTCAACAATGCAACTGGTCGATGAGAGAGGTCCACCTGAGGTCCACCTGAGGTCCACCTGAGGTCCACCTGAGGTCTACCTGAGGTCCACCTGAGGTCCACCTGTGGTCCACCTGAGGTCCACCTGAGGTCCACCTGAGGTCTACCTGTGGTCCACCTGAGGTCCACCTGAGGTCCACCTGAGGTCCACCTGTCTCCCGCCGCCTGTACAGCTCCATTCTTTGACTTTTAGACGTGATGATGTAATTAAAGAGCTTTGAGAGTTTTTCTGTGATCGGGTTGAAGTTGTCGGAGATTATTCGGTGGACGATCTCGTGCAGAAATGTTTCTTGTTAAACTCGTTAAAAGCTCCAAATCTCTTATTAGCAAAGTGATGTACAAACACACTCAGGTAGTCGTTTAGATTAAAATAAATAATTTATGGTTGTTTGGCTGTTCGGTGTTTGAGTTCATAAATAAGTTCTGGTTAATATCAAAAGAACCAATACTCAGTCAGGTGTACACATTATTATTATTATTATTATTATTATTATTATTATTATATATTTAATACATAGTCACATTTTAAGTTAGCTGCTGCTAGCAGAATGGGTTTTGCTAATCAGATGTAACTAGCTAGCTAACATTACTGTGGATTGGTTAGTGAGTAATCTGATTACCAACACTAACCAGTGGACAACAATCCTCAACTAGCTACACTTGTATTCAGTTTCAGTGTCTTTTAAAGGTTTTTCTGGTGAAAGTTATTGATCATCATTCGTCTTTCGGGCTGTTTGGATGAGAATAGATTTTAAATTTGATTTTCAAGATCAGAATATAAACAATCTTCAATCAGGCAGCAACAAATATATCTAATAAATACATTATTATTTATATATATATATATATTATCATTGAATCAGTTACAATACTAAACACAATATTCTATATTAATATTTCTATTAGTCTCATATTTAAACATTCTAAACATTTCAGTTTGTATTTTTTTTTGCAGCTTTACAACAAATAATGTGTTAATTGATATCAATTAACACATTATTAACCCTGATGTACCTTCAATATTGTAATGTAATGTCCCTTCGCACAGAAATGTCCATAAATAATCAAGCTATAAACATTTTATAAATTATTTTAAAGACATTTTATTTATTTGTTTGAACGGATCACCCTAATCATATCAAATATTAATGATTTAAAATAATTTAACAAACTTTAATAAATCAACAATATGTATGAAAAAGCACATTAATGCTGCAGGGTAACCCATAATGTAATCTGATACAGTGACATAATCCAAGAATCACAATATTAAAGTAACTTGATTACTTTGTTACTTTTGGATCCCCTCATCACCAAATATGTAAATAAAGAGAAAATATCAATATTGATGAATTCTATAAAACAGAACCATGTGTCCTCCTGATCATCTCTACTTTTACTAAATTGTTGTTCTGTAACTGTAATGGATTACAGTTATCTTTTTCAGTATTCATCCAAACTCATTTCACTGAACTCTGCTGAAAAACTCAATTTAATTCAATTCAGTTTTATTTGTATAGCGCCAATTCATAACAGAAGTTATCTCAGGACACTTTTCAAATAGAGCAGGTCTAGACCGAACTCTTTAACATTAATTACAGAGACCCAACAGTACCACCATGAGCAAGACCTTGGAGACAAGGGCAAGGAAAAACTGCCTGTTAAAAGGCAGAAACCTAGGACAGATCCTCCAGCTCTAGGTGGGTGGTCGTCTGTCTCGACCAGTTGGGGTGAGAGAGACAGACAGACAGACAGACAGACAGGTGCACAGCAACAACAGTATTGGCAATGGCAATCAAGCAGGACCATGGCAGGAGGCTCCACCAGGATCCATGAGAACCTGCGAGACGAGAAAGCACAAGAACTCCGGGGAAGAAGTGAAGTTAGTAACATGCATTAAAGGGACATGAATGAGTGCAGAAAGAGAGAGGAAGAGAGGAGCTCAGTGCACCATGGGAAATCCCCCGATAGTCTAGGCCTATAGCAGCATAACTAAGGGATGGTTCAGGACTCACCTGATCCAGCCCTAACTATAAGCTTTATCAAAGAGGAATGTCTTAAGCCTACTCTTGAATGTGGTTAGGGTGTCTGCCTCCCGAACCACAACTGGAAGCTGGTTCCACAGGAGAGGAGCTTGGTAACTGAAGGCTCTGGCTCCTGTTCTACTTTTAGAGACTATAGGAACCACAAGTAGCCCAGCATTCAGAGAACGTAGTGTTCTAGAGGGGTAATAGGGTACTATGAGCTCTTTAAGATATGAAGGGGCCTGACCATGAAGAGCTTTATAGGTGAGGAGGAGGATTTTAAATTCTATTCTACATTTTACAGGGAGCCAATGCAGAGAAGCTAGTACAGGAGAGATGTGATCTCTTTTTCTAGTTCCTGTCAGTACTCGTGCTGCAGCGTTCTGAATATTTGAGTTCAGGACCTGAATTCTTCCTGTGTGAGTTCATTGTGTGTTTATATCAGGCATCCAAACACTTTAATGTCCTTCAGTCTGTGAAACATTAATCATCTGACTGTGTTTACGTTCCTGCAGCTTTATAGATCCAGATCTGATCCAGATCCAGATCCAGGTCAGATCTCTGCTGGACTCAACGAGCACTGTGAGAGTGTCTCTTATTCCACTATTTTTCAGAATTTGTACAAAGCAAACAAAAAATGGATCAATGGATCAATAATAATTAAATCTAAAATAATCGTTAATGGTTCAAAATGAGCTCGACCAACTAAACAATAAAATCCTGCTTTTACGTGAATGAGTTAGAATAGTCCAACATCATATATAATAATACAGTTTAATACTTTAACTACAGTTTATGGTTTATACCCACTGACAACATCTTATCTTATTCCTTTTTATTTTATTTTATCTTATTTTACTGCTCGTGAATTATTTCAATACTTAGACGATTTTTTACTGTTTGGTATTTAATTGTCTATCCAATGCAGATAAACAATCAGGTTTATGGGGGTTATGGTTGAGGTTTTATTGGTCTCAGTTGATCAGGACTCATTACGTCCCACATGGACCAGGTTCTGGTCTGAGGAGGATCAGCAGCTGACGTCTGTGAGGAGACTTTCAGGCGGAGCGTTGTCCTCTAATGAGGACTGATGAGGGATTCCTCCACCACTTATAAACCGCTGCTGCTGCTGGAGGAGGACACAGACTGCAGGACCAGTATCAACAGGACCAGTATCAACAGGACCAGTATCAGCAGGACCAGTATCAGTATCAGCAGGACCAGTATCAGCAGGACCAGTATCAGTATCAGCAGGACCAGTATCAGTATCAGCAGGACCAGGACCAGTATCAACAGGACCAGTATCAGGATCAACAGGACCAGTATCAGGATCAACAGGACCAGTATCAGTATCAACAGGACCAGGACCAGTATCAACAGGACCAGTATCTGCAGTAAGTTTGTTGCTTTGTGTTTTCAGGACCTGGTTTATTTCTCTTTAACAGTCTCAGCTGATGTTGAGTTTGCGGTTTGGGGCAGTCTGAGGTTCGGGGGCAGTCTGAGGTTCGAGGTAGTCTGAGGTTCGGGGCCCTCTAGTGGTTGTTAAAGGTTGAACAGAAGCAGAAAAGTCTCTGATTTGAGCCTGAAACCACTGAATCCTGATCAGTTTTCTGAACTCAGTGGTTGTTTGGTGTCAATGACAGCAGATTGATTGATTGCCCATCAGGCCGAGGGAGATTAAATTATTCCAACTGTCTGTACTGTCGACTGAACTAAGGCTGCAGATACAGCTCTGATACTGTTCTCATAATAATAATAATAATAATAATAAAACATTTATTTTAAACAGCACTTTAAAAGATACTTTAAGGACCTTTACATGGTGACAGCAGAGACGACCTCAATATAAGACCTACGGCAGACGTTATGTAACGGACGGATGGATCAGCGTGTAAGAAAGACTCATTTCTGTTTAATGGAGAATTTAAATGATTCCATGTTTTAACTTAATGAGCAGATATTGATCCTAAATCAGAACCTTCCATATGTTAATTAAATTAATGAGCACCTATTACATGATTTATTAATTCAATTTTTTGTTAGATCTAAAGTGTCTCAGATTTTCCTACAAACGAACTTTCAGAGAGAAAAACCTAAAACCTGAAGCAGGTCCACTGCCCCGAATGTTCTGGGGAGAAAAGGCTGCCTGTCGTGCTGCTCTTTGTTTGCGCACACAAACTGTATCTAGTAGCCACGAATTAAATCAACAAAAGTATGAATGAATTTTAGTTGCTGTATACGTTGCTGTAAATGTTGCTGTATACGTTGCTGTAAATGTTGCTGTATACGTTGCTGTAAATGTTGCTGTATACGTTGCTGTACGTTGCTGTATACGTTGCTGTAAATGTTGCTGTATACGTTGCTGTATACGTTGCTGTAAATGTTGCTGTATACGTTGCTGTAAATGTTGCTGTATGTTCACGTTGCTGTAAATGTTGCTGTATACGTTGCTGTACGTTGCTGTATACGTTGCTGTAAATGTTGCTGTATACGTTGCTGTACGTTGCTGTATACGTTGCTGTAAATGTTGCTGTATACGTTGTTGTACGTTGCTGTATACGTTGCTGTAAATGTTGCTGTATACGTTGCTGTATACGTTGCTGTACGTTGCTGTATGTTGCTGTAAATGTTGCTGTATACGTTGCTGTACGTTGCTGTATACGTTGCTGTAAATGTTGCTGTATACGTTGTTGTACGTTGCTGTATACATTGCTGTAAATGTTGCTGTATACGTTGCTGTATACGTTGCTGTACGTTGCTGTTTACGTTGCTGTATACGTTGCTGTAAATGTTGCTGTATACATTGCTGTACGTTGCTGTATACATTGCTGTATACGTTGCTGTGCGTTGCTGTACGTTGCTGTAAATGTTGCTGTATACGTTGCTGTATACGTTGCTGTACGTTGCTGTATGTTGCTGTAAATGTTGCTGTATACGTTGCTGTACGTTGCTGTATACGTTGCTGTAAATGTTGCTGTATACGTTGCTGTACGTTGCTGTATACATTGCTGTAAATGTTGCTGTATACGTTGCTGTATACGTTGCTGTACGTTGCTGTTTACGTTGCTGTATACGTTGCTGTAAATGTTGCTGTATACATTGCTGTACGTTGCTGTATACATTGCTGTATACGTTGCTGTGCGTTGCTGTACGTTGCTGTAAATGTTGCTGTATACGTTGCTGTACGTTGCTGTATACGTTGCTGTAAATGTTGCTGTATACGTTGCTGTACGTTGCTGTATACGTTGCTGTAAATGTTGCTGTATACGTTGCTGTACGTTGCTGTATACGTTGCTGTAAATGTTGCTGTACAGTTTCTCTCTGTGTGTTTAGGAAACATGGGACGAGCACCCGAGCTCGACCTCAACACCTCCGTCTGGCCCCGCCCCTGCATTAACGCCTCCTGTCAGCCTCCAATCAGAGCAGAGTGTCCGTACAGCGTGGCTCGGTTGATCCTCATCGCCATGGTAACCACCTCCCTCAGCGCCGTCACTGTCATTGGCAACACGCTGGTGATCCTGTCCATCAAGGTAAACCGTCACCTGCGGACCGTCAACAACTACTTCCTGTTGAGCCTGGCGGTGGCCGACCTGATCATCGGCCTGGTCTCCATGAACCTGTACGCACTCTACCTGCTGTGGGGCCACTGGCCCCTGGGGGCCACCGTCTGCGACATGTGGCTGGTTATGGACCACGTGGTGAGCAACGCCTCCGTCATGAACCTGCTGATCATCAGTCTGGATCGGTACCTCTGTATGACCCGGCCGCTCAGCTACCCGGCGTGGCGGTCAGGCAGGACGGCCGGTCTGATGATTGGAGCCGCCTGGCTGCTGTCCTTCGTCCTCTGGGCCCCCGCCATCCTCAGCTGGCAGACCGTCGATGGCAGACGAGTCATCGTTGATGGAGAGTGTTACATCCAGCTCCTCGCCAGCCCCGCTGTCACTTTGGGGACGACACTTCTGTCTTTTTACCTGCCAGCGCTCGTCATGATTATTCTGTACAGCCGCCTGTCTGCCGCCAGCCGCAGTCGACTGGGAGCACTCCGGTTGGAGCGAGGCACGCTCAGAACATCCAGTCCGTCTGTGAAAGACTTCCTCTTGAAGCGCCGGAGCTGGGTCACCAGTGAACTTGGCTCAGACGTGTCTCTGAACCAATCAGACTCCAGCACTCCGAAGCCCAGAAGGAACCAGAAAGTGTCCAGAAGTCCTGGTGACACGTCAGAGCCGACAGACGGACTGGACGTCCTGAGCGTGCCTCGCTCTGACCGGAGCGCGCTCAGTCAGTCAGACGTCAGTCCATCTGCCCCGCAGTGTCACCCTCGGACCGCCGCCAACCACCCCAGAGACGAAGACTACAACAAGATTGAAACGGACTCCTCGTCCAACGCCAACCTCCACAGGATGGCCTCTGCGGCTTTCTCCGGTCCAAGCTTCAGATCCCAGGAGAGACAGCGACGTCGAGTGATGGCAAGGGAGTGGAGGGTCACCAAGACCATCCTGGCCATCCTCCTGGCCTTCATCCTGACCTGGATGCCGTACAACATCATGGCTGTCATCGCCACCTTCTGTCACGTCTGCATTCCCAGCGCCCTGTGGACCACCGGATACTGGCTCTGCTACATCAACAGCGCCATCAACCCCGGCTGCTACGCTCTGTGTAACGTCACCTTCAGGAAGACCCTCTGCAGCCTCCTGTGCTGCCGCGGCAGGAAGCTGCGGTGAGACTGTCCTGGTGTCCAGCAGGTGGAGGAGGACTCAGTGTTCTCCAACAAGACTCTGCGATCACTCAGTGATACTAAACTTCAGATTCAGTTTAAAGTCTACATGAAACAGGAAGCAGAGGCAGAACTTCCATCACGTTGTTACACTTAAAATTACCCAGAAAAACCACAACGTCCGTTTTTACATCAACATCAAACATCTGGCAGAGTTTGTACTTTCAAAGGAGGTTTATTTTCATTCTCCTAACTTCAGACGATGTAATTCTAATGTTACTGTTTGTATTTTTATGCTAACATTACTGTAAACGTTACTTGTATTGCTTTTAACTCGGGCTGTCGTCGATGTTTTGGGACACTGTCCACCTGTAGCACTAACTGTGTGTAGTCTGTTAGCGCTATCACTGCTGCTAGCTGCTGTTTCTGTATGATGTTAGCTAGCCAGGACAGGTGTCTATCAAAGGTTGGCTGAGTCAGAGAATGTCTAATAAGGAGAACTTCCACTCTCAGTAAACTTCCGGGTTCTGAACTGTTGCAGTTCCACTCTGGTTCCATGTGAGGGCGCTCACAGGATGAGAGCAGAATGAATGGAGCTCTATGGAGCTATACCCTCACAGTCCTCTTCTCTCAGGATATCATTGTTTGTCTAGTAATTTGAATGTTGCATTCAAAAGGGGACGCAAAGAAATTACACATTGCTGGGTGTTAGATTTTTTGGAGTCACTTATAGTCCATGAGCCAGGGGGGTTGATCGGTATCATCGGGGGGACAAATGCTATCATGGTTTTTTGGCAAGGTATACAGCCCTAGTACTAGAAAAATCACGATAGCAGTGCAGGGGTGGTAGCGAAATCACTTTTTTCAGCTCATGAAGTTACTAACCCCCTAAGATAAATTCCGTTTTTGAAATCTGGTGTATATCTGGTTTAGGCTCATGGTAGGGATATTGTCAATATTCTATAATATGGTGCTTGGTATCGTTGGAAAGGGGACCTTTTAGGCTTTCATTTAAGCCCAGTACTGAATCTGTCTGACAAACACAGAGGTCACATGACTTCTTTAAACCAGAAATAACACACATTTTCTCACAATTTCCGCCTAAACTGTATGCTTTCTTTTATCCCTGGGGCATGAAGGAACATCAAGGACACAAAACTCAACAACTTCAATACTCAAGGCACTCTGATGATTCAGAAAATGTATAATATACCCATACTATTTATTTGTGAGAGCCTTAAATTAGACTTGTGCAGCCAGCACAAGTCTTCAGGCGAGTAGATCCAGGAGAGCTTCAGGTGCTGGCCGGCCTTCCATCCAGTGCAGCACCAACTGTTCACCTTCCTCCTCTGTCTCCATCTTCCATCCTCTGCCAACAGGGCTTGGCACTTGTGGGTCCGTTTCTAAACATCTTCTCCAAATACCAGCCTGATAGTTAGCTCGCAGTGTGTGTTGCCTCCAGTGTTGGGCAAGTTACTTTTAAAAAGTAATTAGTTACAGTTACTAGTTACTTCTTGCAAAAAGTAACTAAATTAGTTACTCAGTTACAAATTATAAAAGTAACTAGTTACTTTAGAAAGTAACTATTGCGTTACTTTCAAGTAAATTTTTAAATGCTCAAATGTGACCCCACCTCCACCCCTCTTTAACGGAACTTAAAATACATGTGCATGTTCAATTATTTATGATAAATCTGAATATTATAATGAAATGGACACTTAATACAATCCATTATTAACAGAAACAATGTACACAAATCTAAACTATTTTATTGTTGCTGTGGGACAAAGTGAGACTAGCCTCCAATCAAATGCCATGTATGTAGATATTATGTCTATATATCGGATTGATACAAATAACACAATAGATGTTTTGGAACTTTTGATATTTATTGCCCCTCAAAAATTATGCTAGTTAAGCACTATACCAAATATAAATAACAAATATATACACTCTTTGTAGTGCAAATAAAACAAAAAAAAACTTCAGACAATTGGTAGATATACTGTACTTCAAGTATTTTCTTCCTCGAAAAAGTAGAACAGTGTAACAATATGAGGTGCTTTCAATCTAACATAATAATAATAATAGCATAATGTGCATTTCAAGATTACATTTGTTCCTTTCATTTCTTGGAGGGAAAAGTAATGGCTATACTTCCATTTAGAGAAGGCTATTTTTGGATTATTTGGGCTCGCCATACCTGTCTCTTGTTGACTGACTTGATTGTGTTGTTCGTTGTGTTGTCCGACTATGCGTGCTTTCGAACACCCGCCCAACTCTACCTCTGATTGGCTTACCATGAAATTTTACTCAACCTCAGCCAATCGTCAGCATTTATGCGCTTGTCTCGTGCACTGCCCACTAACCAAGGAAGAACTGTAAAAAAAGTCTTTGCCTCTCGGCTCAGAGTTCTAGTTGGTCTGATGAAAAAACACCTCCTCACTGTCTTGATATGTGATTCTGTAACATTTGTCAATCACAGTTGCATAAAGAATCTTCTCCTGTAGCTTTTCTCTGTATTCTGGCTTCCTCCATTCATTCACTATGAAGCTAATGAGACTAGTTTTGTTATTGACTTTGGTCAGGAAGCTCCTCCACTGCCTCACCATCTGTGTGCTTGTGATATCCTGCAACTCATGACCAGTCTCTTCACCCCGTAGAGATCTTTCACTATTCTTGATTGAGTTCTGCTTGTATGTGTCGAACACAACATCTATTCTTCTACTCTGACTGCCTTCCCTCAGAGCCATACCCAGGATTGTTGTGGCAACATCTCTGAAAGTAACTTCATCACCTTTCACTCGTTGGACATCCCATCAACCACTGTGGCAGAGTTTTCTGGGTGTTTCTCCTGTAGTGCTACATTTTTCTGCAAGGCTGTGGCCAAAGTAGCATTGTTTGTTTTTCTCAGTGTGAATAAAACAAATAAACAAAGCTCTCCCTGTCAATACACGGGATAGAAAGAGTTTTTGTTTTGCTGTTTTAAACCCCACGCCGAAATATCTATGTCCCGCTTCGGATGCCACGATGCCATCAAGCGGGATCTCTGGTCGTAATCAGTCCTTCACTGACCAATCAGCGTTCATTAGCAGAATGCTAGCGCGTTATGGGCAACAACAACTCGTCCTGTAAGAAATCTAAAGGACATCAGAACTCGTTCATTCAGCTTTCGACCTATAACCCATGTTGAACTTTAAAAACTACAATCACATCTGAGATCTCTCAACCACAATCAGCTCCATCTGCTCCCATTCATTCTGCACTGCTGGGAGAGCGCCCCCAGTGGACCTCTGCTGGAACTGCAACCAGTATTCAGTACAATGGGACTTAATAGAGAGAGGCCAGGCTCTCGGTGCACGGGCTCTGGTTGAGTGCTGCAAGCTAACCCTCTAAACTGTAATTTAACTGGTTTCCAGCTTATTCCTGAACACTGAAAATGTCTGTAAAGCCGTCATGACAATGCAGCGATGTGTTTTCTAAAAACATCATTAAAAAACAAATTGACTGTTAGCTAAATGCTAACTCATTTCAGGGTTTTAGGACTCTATGTGGACAATAAAGATATAGAAAATAATATGGACACAGGTCTGGATCCACATGTCAACAAATGCTGTCATACTAAAAGCTAACATGCTAGAACCATGCTAACGTGGTCAGTCTGAATATGTGGTGGTTAGCGTACATGTAAATATGGTTTTGTGTGTTATTATCACGTGATTGTGTTAACATTAATGAACAGACCAAACTCTTCACCAAAACAATGTACAGTATTTATTTGTTCATTTATACAAGTCTCATCTTGCAACGTCAATAATCTATAGTTCAAAAAATAGATTTTATAGAGGATCAGAACAGAAGTCTTTATAATCCAGCGGAGCATCGAGGACGGTTTCCTTCATGTCTGTTGGATGTTAATGTAACTTCAGCTACTGTAAAAGCTTTTAGGACTATCTGTTAAAACCAACTATCAGCTATCAGGACAGAATTATGGGTTATTATCTAAAGGGAAGATTCTGGAAAATAATCCAAATAAACACAAGAACATCAATAAGAGTAATAAAAGTCAAAGGAACAATGGAAGGTGGTAGTTGTGTTTTGGAGGAGTCTCTCGGTTGGTTTGTGTTGGACGAAGGAGGGAAGACGATTGTTCAGCTGGAGGAAGAGAAATGAATCCTGTCGTCTTCTGCATCTCGTTTCATCCTTTAGTTTGACTTCTTGTCTCCTGGAAGGAAAAGAAACGAAAGAAAGTTCATTGATGTTGTTAATGCTGATCAGTTCCTGCAGGAGCTCGCTGACGGTGGTCGTCTCATTGAGTCTCAAACCGAAGCTCAAAGTCACAGTAAAGTTTTATTATTTTAACAAAGCTGTAAAAGATAGCAGTTGTATAAAATACTTTAATATATAATATATATTATAACAGTATTTTATGACATTAGAACTTTCACTGAAGTACAAATTGGAGATACTTGTACTTTACTTATTATCAATATTAATGTTCCACTACATTTATTTTCAGTAGTATGATGAATATGATTATTCTGCATTATGAGTACTTTTACTTTTGGTACTTTTACTGAAGTAGATCTGAAAGCGTCTTCGGGTCTCACCTCTGGTCTTCTTGACTTTGGGGGAACAGGGTTTGGACACCTTGACGGTGTTGTCACAGTTGGCGTTGAACAGCGCTCTCTTCAGCGTTCCTGATCGGCTCTTGGTGTTAGAGACGGCGTCACAGGATCCCCATGGCCCGAACTTGTACTTGCAGTCGCCTGCAGGAAATACACGGAACATGTAAAAGAGTTCCAGCGTTTACATGGTTAACACCATGAACACAAAGTTCATCCTAATGTACGACCGCTTTAACTGACCACGTTCAGTTTGTCTTCAGTTCAAAACATCAGGAAATGTCCTGAGACAAAGTGTCATAACATGCAGTTCCAGTAGTGGCCACTAGAGACCGCCAACAAAGCACACAATGGTGAATGTGATGTTTCTCTTTTCACTCAAAACATCAACAACAAGTTCACTTCAAATATTTGTATTGGTGGTTACAGTAAAACGTCTAATAACAGCCCGGGCGATGATTTAATTCCTTCAGCACAAACTATTTCCTTTAAAATGGTGTATGAATAAAGGTTTTGTCATGTTTTACTGTTACAGAAACATTTTTACTTATTTCAAGTTTACAGTCTTTTACTGACAAGGTTTGAGAGGTTAACACCATAAAATCTACCAACATGTTTTACAGTGTGTACTGGGTCAGAGATTCTTACAGCGGTGGGTTGAAAACACAGATTCTGGATGAATCAGAACTACTTCACACTGCCCTCTACAGGAGGCAGAATAAAGGATCTTAAATCAGCAGCCCAGATCCTCCGGGCCTCCGTAGGTTCATTTACCAGAAGCATTCAGTGTGTCTGTGTTTGTGGACTCACTGATGGCTTTCTTCCAGTTGCAGGGGATCTTGCAGGGAATCTGTTCGGTGCGATCCTTGCAGGTGGACTCCCTCTCGCCCTCGCCACAGTCTCCGTCGTTCGGGATGCACTTCCCGTACCGAGTGTCATCAGCGGAGCACTCTGAGGCCGGTCGCTTTTCATGTTTACCAGCTGCTGGAACAGAGACACAGCTTTAACGTCTGACAGATTCTCTCCGACGGTTTCAGTCTGAATCCTGGTAAAGTCCACAGTCTGTAGATATTGTTGGTTTCCAGAGTTTAACAATGTTTAATACTTTTATTATAGACTGTTTATTCCCCAGAAAACATCTTCAGACTTCATCTCAGAGACTAAAGACCACAACAAAAACAGGTAATTCCACCTTAAATGAAGCTCATTAAAGCTCGCCATGTTCTCAGTGACTCAACAGGACAAACTTGTCTTTAACCTTTAGGCTACAAGCTGTGCATTCCTGCCGAAAGGCATTCTGGGAAACAGGATAAACTACAACTTGTTTCCGCTCACGCTCCGAATACAGAACGAAGCTCAATAAACATTCAGTTCATTTACTTTTATTACTGTTTGTTTATCTGACACATAAAGTACAAACAGTCCCATCACAGCAAATATTGATTACACATTTACTTTAGCATCAATAATCAATAATATGTCACAGAGTCCTTTTACTTCTGCAGATTAGACACATAGACAGACAGACAGACAGACAGACAGACAGACAGACACTTTCACTGCGAGCTGCTAAACAAAGTCAAACTAATCTCAGTGAATACGACATCAGATTTATTACGTTAGGCTCAAAGAGAAAAGGAGCACTGCAGTTGATTAAATATCTCACCTTTGTGACCTTTGACCCTTTTGTTGGCCTCTGCGGTGAGCGTCAGGGCCAGGAGCAGCAGCAGCGTCACTGAGAACAAACTTCGCATTCTGCAGAGACACAGACGGACAGACAGACAGGATGTCTTTAATCTGAAAGGACTCTGCAGCTTCATTTAATAAAAAGAGTTTTATTATTGGCTGAAATATTAAACTGGTTATCACAATATTTGATTTATTAGACCTTTATTTACCCGGGAAGTCTCTGAGATACTCTCACAGCAGAGAAAAGTAAAAGTGGGTCAGTTGTTAGCTGTTAGCTGTTAGCTGGAGACACTGCAACCAGTGAAAGTCCCTCTGAATCTAAAGAGATCATGTCTGTCTGTTCACATCTGACTGAGTTAAGGCTGAAGAGGACGAGTTTGAGACCACAGATCCGGATGCTAAAGGACCACAAACAGACACTGAAGGTTAAAAGAGACGTGTCTCTTTAATCTGGGGGTCTTGCTCCTATGTGGGGGGGGGGGGCCTGTGGGGGCCCATTGTCTCGTAATGGAGCCGTGACGGGCCAGAACCGCACCTTCCAGCTCGTCCACCAAGGTATCTGAAATGTGTTTGTTCTAATCTGATCCTGTCGTCTGATTGGCTAACGGGACATTGAACAGTAGCGTGATCTGGACCAGCGTAGTCCGCTTGGGCCAGATGGTCCAAACATCAACTCAGCCCCCCCAAATCTCAGAACGCTTAAGCCAAATAATCTGACTATTGTAGTCCCGGCAGCTTCGGGATTATAAAGTGGGCTAATGTATTCAGATATTGTTCCCGCTCGCTCACATTTACTCCGGATTTTAGTGGATTTCTCCTCGTTCTCGCCACCGTTACCGCGCTCCTTCAGACAGCGCCCATCAGCTCAGAGAACTGTAGCGTGGGGGTCTTGGCTCTCCTTTGAAAAAAGAGAGAGTCAATTACCCATAAAGCCCCTCTCTCCCGCTCTGTTGTTATTGTGCTGAGAAATGACAGACTCTCTTTCAGGCCTCCATTAAAGCAATGCTCCTCTTTCACATGTCAGCTGGCAGAGCAAATCCTGCTCTTCTCGCTCCTCCTGCGGCCCTTTATGAGGAAAGAACCGGCTCTCAGCAGGCCTCCAGTCTGTCCTCCATCAATGAAGAAGAGGAGGAGGAGGAGGAGTGGTGGGGGGGGGCAAGCAGCATCTGAAAGAGCTCTTTAGATTTCCCCTCAAAAGAATACTGATTCATTGGCCCAAAACAAAGCCTCCTCTAGCCTGGTTTCATTTCTCTAAAGCCTAACACAGATTCCATGCCACGTCTTAGGAGCTGTGCCCCCCGACCACCTCCCCATACCCCCCCGCCCTGAATAGAAACTTATTTGCATAAGAAAACAATGAGATCTCAGCATGAAGAAAAGGAGTGGGATGCTCCCTTTGGTTCAGAACTAGGAACAACATTTAGAGGAACTTCCTCCCGAATCTCAGGGTTCACTCTCGCATCCGGAAACATGAAACAGTTTAGAGCTCCTGACGTTTACTCCTGCAGAGCCGGAGGAAAACCTTCCCGACAGTGACACGTATATCACAGACATATCGCTGTATCGGGGTAGAAATCATCCGATATGTGTCGATATATAAAACAAAGAGTCTGGTAGTTTCTACAGAGCTGATGTTCCTTTAACTTTTCTTTAATAAAGTCAGTAGTTAGGGGCGCGTTGTTGTCGGTTGTTCGGGGCTCGGCGTTGGTTTCAGAGGGAAACGGCTGCAACCATCAAACAATGGCAACGAAAGCTGAATGAGTTTATTACAGCTGTAAATGGACATTATATGGATATATGGTCACCATGGATACGAGTCCACAAAAGAGATTATTTTTGATATTATTTTATTTGTTTAGTATTTCAGTTAAATGATGTCAGTTGTTTTCCATCACATCAAATTAAATTATAAAGTTATATTAAAAAATTACATTTATTTACTAATTGATGGAATGTATGAATTATGGCACAAATAAAAAGTTTAAATAAATAAATCCGGTCTCAATAAATCCATATCGGCCAACCCTAACCCTGCTGACGTTTAAAGTCTCCTCCAATGAAATGGAACTTTTGGAGAATAAAATAAAATAAAAGATCTAAAGACAGAAAGTGTCCCAACAGCAGAATGAAGGTTTATCATCTGCAGCCACTCAATATCCAGAGTTTACCTTCCTAAACACTGATCAATACGCACTGATCAATACACACTGATCATTACACTGTATTACAATTCTTTCTTTAACATTAAATAAATGTGCAGTCACTAAAATCAAAAATCAAACAAACATCAAAATATATAAATAATCACATTTATAAGGTTACAGGTTGTGACTGATTATTATTACTGATCGATCATTAATCTTAACCATTTTTAATCCTGTATGAATGAAAACAACGCTCTCAGATTAAAATGTGTAGAAGGAGAAAAAAACAGTGAATAAAAACTTACATGCCGAGCTCAGAGGAGCAGCCAGTCGAACTGTGGAGTCGTCTCCGTCTGTCGCTGCCTTCAGCTGCTGCTCAGCATCCCCTCAAACACACACACACACACACACACACACACACACACACACACACACACACAGTAACACACACACGCACACACACAGTAACACACACACACACACACACACAGTAACACACACACACACACACACACACACACACAGTAACACACACACACACACACACACACACACACACACAGTAACACCCACCCACACACACACAGTAACACCCACCCACACACACACACACACACACACACACACACACACACACACACACACACACACACACACTCTACATATGGACAATGCTGAAACCAGCCTCATGGTGACGTCACAAGCTTTAATCCCAACCCTGAGGAACAAAACAAGTTCAGCTCATTAACATAAACTGTGTGTGTGTGTGTGTGTGTGTGAGTGAGTGAGTGAGTGTATGTTATGTCACCATACAGGTTGGGTGTGTTTGTGATAGGTGTGTGTACAGGTGTGGGCCTCACTGTTAACGTCTTTAACTGCAGTAAAAGTAAAATAAAAGTACTCCATTCAAAATCTTACTTAAAGCTCCTCTATGTTACATTCATTAAACTGTACTCAGCGCTTTTCCAGTGGTCGTTCATTAAACTACCAGCGCCTCCAGTGGTCTATGTTACATTCATTAAACTGTAGCTAACAGCGCCACCAGTGGTCGTTCATTAAACTGTAGCACCACCAGTTTTAGACTAACAGCCACCAGTGGCCGTTCATTAAACTGTAGCTAACAGCGCCACCAGTGGTCGTTCATTAAACTGTAGCTAACAGCGCCACCAGTGGTCGTTCAGTGAACTGCAGTCAGCGTCCTGTTGCATCATCCTGGGCGTCGGCCAACAGAGACAAACACTGAACGCTGTAAAATAACTGACAATCATATTTAGAATAACGTTACTATCTGCAATGTTCCTATATTTTATTTGGACCGTTAGCTCCATGCTAATAACTAGCTCGCCGTTTAGAAGTTGATCACATTTTGCTGATAAAAACTAGTTTCTGCCACTAGGGGCTCTCTGACATCCAATCAATAAGAAAATATGAAGTGTTATGAGGTGGTAAAGCAGTGTGGGATCATGGGAGTTGTTGTCTTCACCACCATTGGCGTCATTGCAGTCAGCTTCTCCCGGTTAGGATTCCTTCAGTGTTCATGGTTCAGGAGGTTTCTACCGGGAGCCCAATGATCCACAGAGGTCTCCTCCTCTCCAACACAAACAGACCCGCTGATTAAAACCACTAAACACACTGAATAAAGCAGTTCCACCTTAAACACACTGAATAAAGCAGTTCCACCTTAAACACACTGAATAAAGCAGTTCCACCTTAACAATCACTGCTTCATGATTATAGATCATTGATTGAATCAGCTCCATATAGAGTTTATTCTCTGTTTAAAGAGGGAATGTTACTGATTAGAGATTTGAAAGATCTTTTCAGGAGGAAGCTGTTCTGTGCTTCCTGTTGAGGTAAATGAGTCTTTTGTATTTTGATATAAAATCTCTGCTGAGTTCTGCGTCAGAACTGATATCCATGTTTTGCTCTTGGTGGCAAACAACGAGTAGAGAAGAGAAAAGGTCTCCCAGCGCTCTGATGGCTCAGTCATGCGTGGCGGCCATTGTTAAAGCCAGCAGCTGGGAACAGAGAGCGGGAGGGAGGGAGACCTCCTCCTGTCCTCCTTCAGGTCTCCTCCTCTCAGAACTCTGAGAAACCCTCTGAGACCACATCCACTCATTGTTACTGTTTGTAATTTACTGAACGTAACTGCTCTGAAATAATCCGAGAATAAAGTTTATTTCTTGCAGTTTATCAGAAAACATTTATTTGTCTTGACACACTTGAAATTATTGGAATTCACTAAAACGTATGAAATAAAATTAATATTAATCATTATTGTTACTGTTATATGAATCAAATAGACAGTACAGAGCTCTGACCTGTATATTAAGCATTGACCTATACCCTGTATCTACAGCACTGACTTCTACCCTATATCTACAGCACTGACCTCTGCCCTGTATCTACAGTACTGACCTCTGTCCTGTATCCAGCCTGGCCTTTGTAACTTGTCATTATCATCAAATGGATTCAATTAAATCTTTATTAGTGTCCCCGAAAGACAATTGGTGTCAAATTATTGGACTTCACTAAAGCTTATGAAATAGAGTTAATATTAATAATCTAATTATTGTTACTATTATATTAATTCAAATAGACCATGCAGACCTCTGACCTGTATCTACAGCACTGACCTATATAAGAATAATTTAATGTTACTATTATATTAAGCAAATAGACTGTACAGACCTCTGACCTGTATCTACAGCCCAGACCTTTATCCTATGTCTGCCATGTCTTCTGTAACCTATTATTATTGTGGAGCTAATGTAATGGTAATATAGTGAGTGGAGGTCAAATGAATGGTTCAAAAACTGCAATTGTGGCTCCAAACAGGAACTATTGGGGAGAGAAGTGTGGACCAGGAGGACTCCTTTTATTGAACCAGTTTCACTGAGGATTCATTTGGTATTTTTGCAAATCGAATGGTTTCTTCTTGGGAATAATTTCATTGTCTTCACAGAAAACTGTAACCGACATGCTTTATTGCAGGTCACTCAGAAATGATAAAACCAAACAATATCATACAGTATAATGTCATTCTGACTCTTATTATTGTTATTATTAATACAGACTTCACTGCTTTGGCAGAATCTGGCTTCAGCTTCTGTTGCCGTTTAAAACAAGTCTACTATCTCAGCTATTTACACACATCACAATGAAAGCTTCCTGCTGGCGGCCATTTGCTTTACAGTTTGTAACAGACAAAAAAAATTACAAAAAGAATTTCATATGTTGACTAAAATTCTATTTAAAATTCGGACCAAAGCAGTCAGTTTGCGAGCAACATGTGTTTTATCTCTACAAATAAATCATAAATAGCTAAATTCCTCTACGTTAAATATCCAAACACTTATTTCTGTGAGTAAACAAATACATCCAGAAGGTCACTAAAGCTGGAGAGAAGACAGCAGCCGTTTTATCTCATATGGCGAAAGCGTCTAGTTCCATCAGCTGCAGGCGGATGAATACGGTCACTGTTGGGTCAAAGCTGCTGTTGTTTCTCTTTCTGTACATTTAACACAGAGGTCAGAGCGCTAATGATAGTCCGTAAAAGACACATTCAACATGCAGTTCGCAGCAGATCTTTGTGGCCTGAAGAGTTTGAATTCACTTTAGTGTCCAGAGCTTCTTTAGTTTGGACTCCAGCAGAGGACAGAGGCGTTTTTAGGCGTCTACAAATCAACTTTATCCAGAACAAACATCATCTCTGCTCAATTTAAACAGTTTAAGGGAAAAACACATTGATAATAATCCGTTTTTATGTGCCTACCACCTCCTGCCCCCTTACAGCAGAGAAGAAGCACTAACTGATATGTTGCTGTATACACCCGGTGTATCGGGGGAAGAGAGAGTAAATAAATGAAACATGGTGGATTTCAGACCGCCGTCTCCTGGTCCTCTCTCTGGATCATCTGGTAATGTTGGCAGTTGTCCAGATGTTCTGCCAGTTCGGGGTCATTGGCTTTCTCAGCGCGCTGTTTGGGAGTCTCACCCTGGAACAGAAATAGAGACAGGATATTGGCATTTATATTTCCCTACATGATGTATCTGATACCAAATCTGGCAGAGCTGCTAAATGCTAAAAACTATTAAACTGATCAGTTCCCCATGAAATCAAATCAGTGAGTGAATGTTTTTATCTCCTCTGTCTTATACGTCTCCTGTCCTCCAGTTTCTGGAGGCAGAAGTCCTGTTTAAGGTGTTTTCAGGTGTTCTTAAAGGTATTTTAGAGTTTCCTGATAATCAATAAAAGTATTTGATGACTCATCCTGCACTTGGGGGCGTTTACTAATGCTGCATCCAATCAAACGCTTTCTCTGTAATAGATCGGCCCTCAGGAACACTACGCTCGTCATTAGAGAGAAAGCGTTTAATTGGATACCATTAAGAATACCTGAAACAGGACTTTCTGTCCCTGTTGGACAGAAACTGAAGGACAGAGGAAATAAACACTGATTCTGACTTCATGGAGACTTTACAGATCTACAGAAGAGAAACTGACTGCTTGTTCAATGAAGATCACAGGTCACTATCGATAGATGGATGCATAGTGTGAGAAATGAAAGTCTCTCGGCTCCACAGCAACATTTTACACACTAACACATGAACTCTTTCTATTTGCTGGTGAGAAGAAGAAGAAGAAGAAAAGAAGAAGAAGAAGAAGAAGAAGAAGAAGAAAAACTCAGATTATGGGCTGTTTCCTGTTACCACTGGCTTCACCATGGCAACGGTGAGCCGCAGCCTTTGTGTGTGTCGGAGCGAGGCCGGGGATCCCGCGGCGCTCCGTTTCTCAATGACACACAACATTAATCACTTTATAGAAGTGGGTCAAATACTGCTGGAGATCCATTTAAAGTGCGGAGGGACAGTTCGGGGCTGGTGGCCGTCACTGCGCCTGAGAACGCTCACAAAGACGCCTCGTACAGCAGGAAGTGTTTGACTCCTCTAAAACATCATGTTTACAGCAGACTGACGGATCCGTTTGGTCTACTGCATTTATAAGCATTAAATTACAGAGAAAATATATATTATAAAAACTCAAAACCAAAAACTCTATTAAATATAATATTCTTGGTAGTCAGCTAGTGTTTTGCTTTGTAGCACTACACTAGATAACTACTCAGCTAACGATGAAGGTGGATTTGCTAGTTAATTAGCTGGTGGTGGTAACTTCAGATCTGTCTTTTCAACATAGATTAGTTTAGCATATAGCATATAACATAAGTTAACTCAACTGTTACTGGAGCACAGAGCAAAAAGGGGCAGGACTTCTATATTTATAAAAAGGCTCCCCCTTTTTCATATGGCAGTAGATTATGTTTGATGCTCTTATATTGTATTCAATGACTGTATCTAGAGTTACCATGGTTGGCTCACATCAGGAGGGAAGAATTGGATTTACTGTTGAGAACTGATGAACAAAGACGGTTAAACTACAGAGAGAAAGTGTGTTAGGTTCTCTGATCTCCCTACAGGTGTAGTGTGAGTTACAGGTGAGTGTAGGTTTACCTGCAGGTCAGTCTTCATGAGCGACGCCCCGGCCTCCACCAGGTAGCGACAGATACTCCTCTGACCGGAGGAGGCGGCTTTGTGGAGCGCCGTCTCGCCTCTGAAACGCACAACATAAATATTAATAAAACCCATAAGTACAGGTTACAATTTGATAAAGTTTGAAATAAATCTGATTAAAAACAGGACTCACGTCTCTCTCTCTGTGATGTCCAGGTGAGGTGTGGGAACTAAATGTAACAGAAACACTTTCATCAATAAACTGAGACACTGACTTTGTTTGAAGATATGAACAATATGTAAAGTATCAGATAATGACATTGACAAACCTATAATACTATATATTAATGATATTTGTGAGGCATCAAAAATATAAAGTTTTTGTTTGCAGACGATACAACTTTGTTCCAACAGAAAAAGAAATTATAGAAAAATCTATTTATTTAAAGGTTACATATAACATATTATTTTTATGTCTTAATAACTTTTTATTGCCAATGAGTGAACGGGGCGTAACTTAAACATGGATGCCCCTGTCTCGCATCGCTCTTGGCTAGTTGAAAGCAACCATTTCTATAGTTAGCTTGTCTTGTGCTGTTACTAGCTAGCTAGCTAACTAACTACCCACACAGTTAACAATTAATGTAGATTAGCTAACTAGACAACTAACTACCCTGCTAATGTGTAAGGTGTCGGCCATTTGTAGACATTAGTGGACTAACCCCTTCATATCTTAAAGAGCTCATAGTACCCTATTACCCCACTAGAACACTACGTTCTCTGAATGCTGGGCTACTTGTGGTTCCTATAGTCTCTAAAAGTAGAACAGGAGCCAGAGCCTTCAGTTACCAAGCTCCTCTCCTGTGGAACCAGCTTCCAGTTGTGGTTCGGGAGGCAGACACCCTCACCACATTCAAGAGTAGGCTTTAGACATTCCTCTTTGATAAAGCTTATAGTTAGGGCTGGATCAGGTGAGTCCTGAACCATCCCTTAGTTATGCTGCTATAGGCCTAGACTATCGGGGGATTTCCCATGGTGCACTGAGCTCCTCTCTTCCTCTCTCTTTCTGCACTCATTCATGTTCCATTAATGCATGTTACTAACTTCACTTCTTCCCCGGAGTTCTTGTGCTTTCTCGTCTCGCAGGTTCTTGGAGCCTCCTGCCATGGTCCTGCTAGATTGCCATTGCCAATACTGTTGTTGCTGTGCACCTGTCTGTCTGTCTGTCTGTCTCTGTCTGTCTGTCTCTCTCTCTCTGTCTCACCCCAACTGGTCGAGACAGACGACCACCCACCTAGAGCCGAAGGATCTGTCCTAGGTTTCTGCCTTTTAACAGGCAGTGTTTCCTTGCCCTTGTCTCCAAGGTCTTGCTCATGGTGGTACTGTTGGGTCTCTGTAATTAATGTTTTAAAGAGTTCGGTCTAGACCTGCTCTATTTGAAAAGTGTCCTGAGATAACTTCTGTTATGAATTGGCGCTATACAAATAAAACTGAATTGAATTGAATTGAATTAACGTTAGCTAGTGTTGCACACGTATTAGCAGGAAATATGAGATTTATTTCTCCGTGCTCCTTTTTCATCACATATTCCAGCCTTTATTAAACCCCACAGACACACATTTCCTCCAGCGAGCATGGAGCGGTGACATGTTTTTGCAGTGTGTTGGAGCAGAAAGTAATCAATCACTCCTAAAGTGATTAATAGGACGTCAGAGCTGTTTGTTAGGGAGCCTGTATGTTCACCTGCTGCTGGGAACTGGTCCACATACAAGAGCTGCATTCACAGGCTGTCTGTCAGAGAGAAACCAACTACAACCTCTTTATACCCTTAATACACAGGTGCATTGTGGGACAGTCTGTCTTTAGTGGACTCTACACGAGAACCAAACTCAGTGTTCAAACACACTCTGTTAACAGTTTCAATGATAGTTTTAGAATTTGGCCAACTTCCTCCTTTCCTGTACTCAGATATGCTATGCTAGGCTAATCTATGTTGGAAAGACAACCACATTTTGAAAATGGTTCAAAGATAAGAAATATAAATATAGTCACATCTTAAGTTAGCTAATAGTAGCAAAATGCTAGTTAACAAACTAGCTATTCTACATGAATCATTAGCTGGGTATTTAGTTGGTGAGTTAGCTAATCTACTTTAATTAATGGTATTTTGCTACAGCGCAAAACACCAGCTAACTAGCTAATTAATCTAAATCAACTGTTGACTAGTAATGTAGTTAGCAAGTGTTTAATTTAAGATGTGACTGAGGCTTACTCAACTGTGATTGGAGCACAGAGCAGAAGGGGGGGTTTAGGAAGGGTTGCTTTAAATAATCTGTTTAATCACAGTGTCTATAAAAAGTCTCATTTTGGAAGGTTTCATGTTTTATTCTTTTAAATTAGATTTTTTGACATTTAAGGGTCTTTTTGGTCAAAAAAATCTGCTTTAATACTATTTTGAGTCAATGTTGTAAAACTTCCTGGTTCCTGGACAACATCACATCAGCTCAGTCCTGGTCCTCCATTGGCTCCCTGTTTGTTTTAGAACTGATTGATGTGATTGATTAGATTGATTTACTGATCACTTTTAAAGCATGTCTGGGTCTGGCTCCAAGCTACAGAGCAGACATTTTTATTTTTATATATTTAATTACATTTTAATGTAATGTCTTTATTTCTCTCTGGCTGTTGTTGTATCTAATCAGTGTCCTGTCTGTTAACAGTGCTGTTAAAGCTGCTATTTAAATAAAGTTTTTATTATAATTACTTTCCAGTCTGACCTGGTTGTTTCACATTCAGCTGTGCTGGCGCCCTCCAGTGGTGAGATTATAGAAGACACAGTGGTTCACAACAATCTGCAGTTGTTATAGTTTTATATTTTTCATTAGTTGTTCATCTTCAGTTTAGTTTTTATTGTTTAAAAATGTTTAGTTTTAGTTGAGTATTTATTATAATATGGAGGTTATTAGTCACAGTGGGTTGGATTATAACACAATGAACAGATGCACCAAAGGCAAAGATATTTCTTCTATATTTCTGTTTTATTTCAGCACATATTAATATTTCAGTTAGTTTTTAAGTCTAGTTTATTTTCCCTCATTGTTTTAGTTGTAGTTCACTTTATTAACCCTGCAGTTCAGGCTGTATAAATGTGACCTGAACCAGACTTCACTGTGATTTTGTCATATTTTGTCACCAGAATCATTTCAAACTAATCAGAAAATAATCTCATACAAACATTAAAACGGATCAATGAGTCTCTGTTTCTGTTCTGTAGCAGGGGCGGATCTAGAGTTTGGTGTCTACTGTAACACATTTATTTCTTTAAAATGAACAGATGTGATGATGTGGCCGGTGTTTGCAGACAGTGTGTGTGAGGAAACTTTCACTGCGTCTCTGCTGTGTGTGTGTGTGTGTGTGTGTGTGTGTGTGTGTGTGTGTGTGTGTTTCTGTCTGAAGAGTCTGACCATTGTCGATGAGGTACTTGAGGATCTCTTTACTGCCGGCCTCCACAGCGTGATGCAGCAGCGTGCAGCCGGCTGCGTCCTGCAGCAGGAGGTCCGCCCCCTGCTGGTGGAGCTCCGTCAGCTGCAGACAGACAGGTTCACGTCAGACGTCAGTTTCAGCTCCAGGGTTTTAAATAAAGACAGAATAAAAACAGAATCTGCAGTAGTTCACAGACTCACCCTGTTCAGGTCTTCAGTCTTAATGCAGTTGATCAACTCTGCATCTGAAAAACAGGAAAAAAAACTCAAAACTGACAGAAAACAGAAGAAACAACAGTTCACACACTGGGTTGACTGATCCTGAGCTGTCAATCAAAGAGGAGGAAGGAAGAGGAGCTTCTACTTTTACTCTCCACATTTTTACACAAAGATCTTTAGACTCTATATACAGGGCAGCCTGGTGTTATCACGTGTTACTGACATTGATGGTCGCACAACCCCAGCACACTGTTACTCTAATGAGCTGTCTGTATGTAGTCTGTCATTTATCTGAGAGGACAGACTGACACTGACTGGTTTTTGTTTCCAGTGAGATATTGTTGACTTTATATACTTTATAGTGACTTTACTGCTCTATGAATAATATCTAGTTAATATATTTAATATAGAAATAAATTGTAGTCCAGTTCAGGACATTTAGTTTGTCTGAGTGTGATAATGTGAGAAACTACAACCTGGGTGGGTTTTAGAATAAATAGTGTTGGATAATAGTCTGAAAGTGTGTTAAAATGCATTTTTTAGTCAAATAACATCAAAACTTTTTGGGGGATGACCTCCGACCCCCCCATCATAAGCACACAACACCTCAAGTATATAAATAAAAGGAGACTTGAACCTGATTGAAGCTACAGTTAGCTTAGCACAGAGACAGCCGATAGAAATGAGAGTACATTTCAGAGCAAGTACTTCTACTTTTACTGGAGTATTTCTTTACACAAATATCAGAACTTTTAAAAACAGGCTCGTTACTTTAGTGTCACGTTAGGAATTGTTAAAATGTGATATTTCTTAAAGGGAGTTTGGTGCAGGAAGCTTTTAGTTGGATTCAATCTGCTAATAAGGATCATTGTTAACATTTAGTCTCCACTACAGAAACACTAGCCAACTGCTAAAGGCTGATCAGGTTGAATAATGCTTTAATAATGGGAGTATTGATTACTGATCAGGCTGAGCAGGATCATTATCAGCTAATTGTACTCAGTTTCTAACAGCAGTGTAAATGGTTGACCTTTGTGTCCCGGTTTTTAAACAATTTAAACAATGTTATTAATCATACTTTTATTAATTAACCTTCACTGATTAGTGTCGGACTGTAGCAATCAGTATTATTCAACAGTAAGAACAGGAGGAACTTTTACCTTTTTCAGGGTCGTGTGAGGTAGCACTGGAAGGACTGTTAGAGAGAAAAAAAACATTAAAGATGAACACGAAGCATTAAAACACACACACACACACACACACAAGGATGGAGTCGTACCTAATGATGGGTCTGAAATCAGGGAGCGTCGTATTGGAGCGATGGACATTGAGAATCTTTGCCCCCCTCCTTCAGACACACAGAGACAGCGAGGACAACATGGACAGGTTGAGTGGCAGCACCAGCACATGGTACCATCAGTATGACAGTAATACTCATGTACTCATGTACAGTATGTACAGTATGTGGTACCAAGTATTTCAAAGCTGACAGTCAGAAAACCAGAGCACAAACAGACACACATATATACAGTATGCACTTATATACTATACACATACTGTAAGTACATACTCTAGATATAAGTATGTACTCTATATATAAGTACTCATATATGTGTACACAAGATGACAGGACAAACAGAAACTTCAAATTAAGTTCCTGTTTGAGTTAAAGTATTGTACCTAACTAGGGGTACTTTACTCAAGTCTTTCCAATTTATGTTCTACTGCACCTTATCTCAGAGGGATATACTGTACTTTTTATTTCACTACATTTATCTGACAGCTAAATGGACAATATCAGAGTGGGTTTGGGGGTTGTTGTTCAAAATACAAAATGACTGTTTAAACCAGAAGTGGACAGTTCAGCTCCCAGTGGGCTGATTTTTAAATTTTTAGTCAGTTTGAGGTTGACTTGTATCTACAGTACTGACCTCTGCCCTGTTTCTACAGCACTGACCTCTGCACTGTATCTGTCCTGACCTCTGAAACTTAGGTATTATTGTCAAACAGGCTCAATCAAATCTTTATTCAACTTGAATTTAAATCACAGTTTATGTGTTTGTGTTAATAATGAGTTGTATAAATAAAGCAATTTTAGATGTTTGCTACTGTAATTTTTTTAATATCACTTTTAAAAACTGTAAATGTTTTATTTATGATTGCTGACTTTTGCAGTAATTGTTTTTTCTCTTACTGTTTATCATTCTGCAGCTAATTCCTTGTATGTGAAAACTTTATTGGCCATAAATCTGAAGGTCCTCAGTGTGTGTGTGTGTGTGCTACCTGCAGAGGGCAGACTTAGAGGAACTCTGGGATAAAGCATCAGCAACCGAACTGTCGCTGGAAATCCTCTTCCTCTGGAAGTCTCTCACCCTAAAATAATAACAACAATAATATTTATTCAAATAGGCGCTTTAGAATCTACATAAAAACTGCATTCCACAAAAACAAAACACAATTAATGAAATTAAGTTTTAAAAGAACATTTCAACCAAATAAAACAAGAAAAGTAGCATCGATGAAAGCTATTACTTTTACTGCTACAATTATCAATATTATTATCAGTTATATATCTTCCTCAACCCAATTGATAAATTCATTGATTATGAATTAATTTATTAAATTATTGCTTTCATTGTTTCCAGTCAGCTCTACCTCAGTTTCAGAGGGGGAAATTATTACTTTTTAATTTAATTTTACTAGAAAAACAAGAAAACATTTAAGGAAATAAAAGACAGTTCAAGAAAATTAGAACTGAAGTAAAATCAGAGGAAAGCTTCTCCCAGATCGACAGTTTGCAGACAGACATTTTCTGACAGTGAACTCAGTGAACGAGGACGCAGCAGTCGCCCAGTCTGTGACCCAGAAAACAAAAACCCACAAACGGGGACAAGACCAGCAGCTCCATGGAAACAGCATCTGATCTCAGCCCAGCTGATCTCAGACCAGCTGCCACCTTCATCCTCATCCTCATTCATTCAGACTGAATCACACCATCAGCCGCTGCAGGACCTCCCTCATCCAGCAGGAGGCGCTCAGCCCACACTGAACAAATGACACTGAGGTTCCCAACACATACTGGTTTATTGGTTTACTGGCTAAAGAAATAAACCCGAACATTTAAGAAATAGGTAATTCATTAATTAAAAATAAGTTAAAAGTTTATTTTCCCTGTGAGTCTGTTTCCAGCTGGTATCAGCCTGCGTATTGGTGATCTGATCAGCTCTAAATACAGTGTGAACGACCACAGACACACATTGCGATCAGAACTCAAACCACTTCCCAAGGTGGTCTGGGACTCATTAGACCACATATGTTTGATAGTGTGGACTCTAATGAGTCCTGGTTCCGATTGAAGGACCACCTGACGTCCCGTAAGAACACAGAAACTGTCTAATTGAATCATATTTGAGTTCTTCTACCTGCAGAGATCAGCAGCACTTTGTGAACACACAAGTCTGTTTTACTAGTAACCACAATATCACCAGACTCCTTCCAAAAATCACACAATTTTAGAGTTACTGATTGAGGAGAAACTTTATGAACTTTGTGAAACTTTATCTACCACAGATTGTTCATTATTGGTCCTTCGTGTAAATTCAGCAAATGTTATTTCTTACTTAGGTACTTCCAGTATGTTGGCTGGTCACCGGTCCAACCTCCTCTACTGCTGTCCACAGTGAGGGACTGTTGGACTGACAGACTGTGATCTAATAAACTCTAATTTTGATTGACTGAACATAAACCAGGTCCGGTCCTCGCTCTCACCTCGGTGTGGTTGAGGAGGTTGGGGAGGACGCGGAGCAGGGGAAGGCGAACTGTCTCTGCTGGTCCTGGTGCTCCTCGGAGTCCACCAGGTCAGGCATACCGGGGGAGGTGCCCACCGTCTCCTTAGAGACCAGCTCCGGGTCCAGGATGTACAGCTCCTCCTGAGAGATCTCCGTCACATAGTTCAGGTGCTCCTGGAAGAGACACAGCGAGCATTATTATTATTATTATTATTATTATTATTATTATTTTACCAAAACTACTTAAATAACTCAAACTACAGATTTCTTCCTATAAAGAGAAACCAGAAGGAAAATCCTGCCTGTGTACAGTTAATATTAATCAGCATCAGTTCATCACTGCTTATATTAAAAAATAAATAAAGTTCCATTCAGTCTTTTATACACAGGGGTTTCACAGTTTCACACCTGAGCTCGGTCGATCCGGTAGAAACGGTCTGCGGTTGTACCTGAAAGACAAAGAGCAGGGTTCAGGGTGTCAGTGTGAGCCGGACTCGGAGGTGGTGGTCTATGTGCTGGTGTGGACTTACAGTCGAGGAAACACCACTTCAGGGACAACTTCTGAGAATACAGACACTCTCCCTTCATCTCCTCACAGTCCTGGACGGGCACAGAGAACCAGGCAGCATCAGAAACCAGAGCAATGGACATATTCTGAAGACTTGGCGAACTCAAACTAACCTGGTCCAGGTGGTCGTGCAGACGCTCGATGAGCAGGCGGCAGGTCTCCAGGTCGCTGTCTCCGGGGACGGTGATGACTCCCAGCGGTGTCGCTGCAGACATGGACGATACGTTTCCAATGTTACACAGCGAAGTTACAGATTTAATCCACAAATTTAGAAAGAAACTGCAGAAATTGCAGATTTTGAAATGGAGTTTGGTCTGTAGAGATTTAATGATGACTCAGGGACGCTCTCAGGTAGCAGATGTCTTGCATTTCTGTATCTTCATCATCATGTTTAAAGTCAGGCTATTACTGATGTGTGATTCATGTATGAGGGTGATTCATCTCTAACTCACTAAAGACACATGCATCTATTCTGCATGCTACAGCACTGAAGCATTGCAGCACAGTGGTTCTATTCATCGCCTTTACTCATAGCTCTGTTTGTAGTCAGCAAACTGTGAGTAAATCAGTCAGTCCCCCCCCTTGTAAGAAAAAGTGAGTGTTCCCCCAGAAGCTGTGGTTATAGTTCGTACACTGGCGGAGATAGAAACATGGCGACCCCAGGGTGTTAACCCCTCACTGACTCACAGGCCGCCTTCAGCTGGTCCTTGTCGTAGTGCAGAGCCTCGTACGACGCCATGCTAATCCGGTTCACTGTGATCTGCAGCTTCTCGGGGACGGGCTGCTGACTGCACACACAAACACACACAATGTTTGTTCCTGTATGTAAAAAACCTGCTAAATGCTGCGATTGTCAGGGGTTTTTACTCGTTGAGATGGGGCATGGAGATCCTCCTCTTGGCCTTCTGCACCATGTTGGCCTGGTTTCTTAGGTTGATGTGAATGACGGACGGCGCCAGCTTGCAGGGCTCGCCGTCAACCTGCATGGGGATGGACTTGTAGGTGGTGAGCGTCACTTCTTTACACTGATGGAGCCGCTCACCGTGACCGCCCACCTGCAGCGTGGCCTGTACACAGACAGGAGTCACATACAGCTAACTTTATCTTCTTCATTTTCTGCTAGAAATGAATTTTTATTTATTTGTTCAGATTTGAAATACTGCAATATTCTCAATAACCCTGCTAATAAATATATGTCACATGTAAATATAGACACAACTTTACATTACTGCAAAATGTGTTCTATATTTACATAACTTGGTCAATCATGATAGTTTTAAAAAATCTCTAACAAAAGAAGAATCTATTTAACACTTCTAATAATGATAATAATAATAATAATAATCATTTCATTACATTAAATTATATAACAGTAAGTGTACCTGAATATTTGGTGCGTATCCTGAGAGGGAAGATACAGTTACTATTTGAGTTAAGTATATCCATAGTTTGTGGTTAAGATAGTTACTATATGGGGCTTTTATACTGAAAGAACAGCCTTGTCCTCAGTTTCCAGTTAAGATAAATTTACTTTCTGGGGATTTTATTTTGAAAAAATAGGTGCATCCCTTGCCTCTTGTTAACAAATCATTGGGGCTTTATTTTGAAAAGGAAGGCTCATACTGACTTTAAGACACACGTTTTTATTGTACTAACTTATAATATTTAGTGTACATTATACGTATTTTATACCAGGTACAGTGTATATGTAACTGGTAGAACTAAACATATTTACTTCAGTCTGTCGTTTTTCACCATTTGTTTCTATGCAGATGACAATAAAACTTATACTGAAGTATTCTGAGCTCTGTATGGTTCATGTGGTCTGATGTGGTCTGGTGTGGTCTGGTTCGGTACAGCTGAGGGCTCACCAGAGACGTCATTGTGAAGCCGATGACCTCGATGCAGCCGTCGTCGTGACGCTGCGGTTCAAAGTCCTGATGTTCACTGGGATGCCCCCAGGGCATGGTGCCAGCACAGTACCTGCAGCACACTCACTGTTACTGGTACTGTACTGGTTATACTGGAGGACAATTTGTCTTTTACAGGACCTAAATGACAAAGATGTTTTACTTCCTGGCTCAGCGTACCTGGGGATGTTGAGGAAGAGCAGACACTGTAACTTCATCTCCTGGACTTTGGCCGTCAGGTCTGTACCGTCACACTGAGGAGGGAAGAAACAGGCTCAGGTTTCATACACAGACTGTACACAAAGCAGAGAGGAAGCATCAGGGCTGAGGGTTGTAATATTCTTATGTTTCGTATCATAGACCACTGATAAAGCGTAGGGAATAAAGCTGTGCAAGCTGTTTTATTTTAATGGATATTAATTACTCAGAAAGTCATAAAAGGCACTTTATGGAGTCATCATTATTATTAAAAAGGGAGCTCAGGGTGACAGTTTGTTCCTGGAACTCGTGTCTTCCTCTTTTATAGAAAGTTTCTTTTTTCTTCAACCAATATTTTATTGAAGAAAAAGCATTAACATGTACATAGTGGACAAATAGCAGCATGCAGAGAATCTTGAATTTTAACAATGCTTCTTCCCAGTTCAGAACGACCCACATGTTTACTCCCATAACAAAACTAAAAACCTGTTTTCCGTTTTATGTTTTGAGGATTTGTTACCTGTTCCCAGCAGACTACTTACAATAACTTGTGTCATGAGGAAAAAAATGTATCACAAAATTGAGATATTAGATTTCCATACAAGTATTTTAATTCCCCATTTCCATTATAAATGTATTAATAATAGTCGGGAAACAACTCGTTTTCCCATTTTGGGCCACAAAGTACACTGACCAATCATACAGGCTCAGTGGTATACGACCAGTTCTCTCTATCAGACAATACACAAAGTTCAGGTATTGGAAGATCTCTAATTATAACATTATATATATATATATTTAACACTACCCAGAATCAGTATCAGATTACATTTGCTGTCATTTAGGAGAGATGCGTCTGGAGACATTTTCTGTTCATCAGCATTGTGAGTGCAGACATTATCTCAAAATGTCAGATAATCGTCCATCGTCTCTGTACTCACCACCACTTTGATGTGCTTGGCGAGGTCTTTTGAACTCCCGCTCAGGAAATCTGAGAAGGCTGTCTGAAACACACACACACACACACACACACACACACACACACACACACACAGATACATTACAAAAGTTTTAACGTGTAAACGCAGTAAACAGAGGAGACCAGAGAGGACACTTACCCCTGCATAGAACATCTTATTCCTGAAGCGGCTGTTAAACTTCTCCGGGTTCGCCTCTGAAACACAAAACATTCAACCCGTTCAGCACATAAAGGAATAAAAATACAGAATAATAACCAACTTATTACATAAAACAAAGGAAGAAGATGATAAACTGTGGTTTCCACCCATCATTTGTAGTCATTACATGAATTAGATTAGATACATTTTCATTGATCCCTGTTGGGTAATCAGGTCAGTGAGCAGCAGAGGAGAGGATGTAGATAAGAATAGAACAAATGCAGTACGAGCACCAAAGATAACACAAAGTAATTACAACAGAACATACTGAGGATAATTATTAAAGATTAACCGGTGTCTGTTGGAAATGTACAGATTAGTGGACATTTAGCAGTTTCTGGTCTGAACAATAAAGCATGATAACGTTGCTTTTTAGCACACATTAATCTGTGAAATATTTGGTAATCTAGGCTAGCTGGAGAACTACTGTAGCAAACTGCTAACATGCTAGCAAGCTGTGCACACTATCAGGAACCAGGTCTAACGTGTTGGTGTGTGAGTGGACTGACCTCTGGATTCATGGAAGCCCAGCGTGACGTGAGCATCGAAGCCCAGACTGAAGTAGTTGTTGAAGACATCAATAGGAAGCTGAGAAACAGCAGAGCTCGTCAGACAACAGAGAAACACTGAAAACAGCCTCTACAGGTCACAGCGAGGATAACGGACTGACCTTGTCTGTCTGATGTTCGTCCTGGTCCTCCGGTCGGGCCTCAGGGTTCGCCTCCACGTTCAAGTTCCACCGATCCAGCTGGACGATGTTTCCATCCTCGACGTGCGAGAGGATCTTTGTTATCGGTTCATCAGTGTAACCCTGAGAGAAAGAGGAGGCCAACGTGGGTTCATATCTGTACTGTCTTATACAAAGCAACAGCACTGCTTTAGTTTACTTATTCGGGTTAAACTAAAGGTCTATCTCTGTAGGGATCCTTTCCATATCCACCATAGTTTCTCCTTTGCACTTACAAAGGGAGGATGAAGCAAGGGAGTTGCAATCAACAACTATGTCGCTTGATGCCACTAAATCCGACACCCTGGTCCTTAAAGTAAAGTAGAACTCACCCCTCCCCAGTTGAGAGTCCTTGCCAGGTCGTTGCCCGTCCCCAGAGGAAGGATGGCCACGGGGGGCTGAGGACGGAGCTTCAGCTGGTCCAACACTGACAAGATCCAGCCCACCTGAACACACACAATTGGAGACATGCTTAAGTCTCACAGCTGTATTCAGCATCTTTAACTACATCTTTACCTTTAGCTACCTCTTACTGTTATAAATGATTTGTTCTTATTTTTCTCTGTTAAAAGTGTTCGTGCTGCACGGAACATAAGACCCAAAGTCTCCACAATGATTAAAGTCGGTGTAACTTATTACAACAAATCAAAATTTTTAGACATTTCAGATTCCAAACGTCAAGAAATTTAAATTAATCACCCGCAAGTTCACTAAATTCTAGAGAAGTTTACCTCACTACAACCTTTGGTCCCTCCACAAGTCTTTATTTAAATGCTACAAAAATCTGCGGACTCAAAGGTTCAGTGTTTGACTCTCCAGGTGGCCAATGTGATAATTCATGCATGTGTACGCTTTTAAGTGCTTCTTCTTGCTTGGATCCAGATTCAATGAATCCATTCATATTTGAGGTTATATTTGTTATGATTATTATTACTTTAGAGAGAATATAAATGTTATCACACATGTTGTGTTACTTCAGACTGGCGGAGTCAGTTAAACAAGTGTTTGAGGTTGTGAGCACAGTATGTGGTGAAGTGGACTCACTGTCCCGTCTCCCCCACAGGCCAGGATCCTCAGGTTGGGCACTTTGGCATACAGCTCCAACCTGCAGGGAACACAAAGCAAAATGTGAAAGGTTCTAGACTCAGACAGAAACTCTGCTCCAAACCTACAGGACTGAAGAGACTAGAATGTGTGAAGAGGTCTGTGGATTACAGCATGAACTAGGGAGCCTTAATGGGGAAAGTAACCCTGATTGTTTGAGATATATTTGAGGTGAATTTAATATGTATAACATTCAAATTTAATAATTTGAAATAAATTAATGAGCCAAAATGGTTTTGGGTAAATTGAAGTTAAATTTCCCATCATCTTACCCCTCTTTGGGTCCGCCCTTCGTCAGGTCAAACACCTGCCGAGGGTTCAGATACCACATGAAAGACTGGATGATCTTGGCTCCCTGAAAGTTAAAATAAAACAACAGAAGATCTGAGGTGGCAGTAAAGTACAGTTCAATAAACAAACTCAGCTCACACTCACACTGTGGGGACCGGTTTCCTTTATGGGGACATTACCTGGTTTCCGCCACTCTTTGGGTTCACAAACACCAGCAGAGGCTTCATGAGCTGAGAGGGGAGAGGCTTCACCAGGAAGGGCTTCCAGCGGCCATCTTGGAGCTGAGTAGAAACATCCAGGACACATTCACAAGTGTGGCAACCTCATAACCTCATCACATTACATTATCCTAACTCATTAACCTCAATAAAACAGATAATCTAAATATACGACAGCCACAGACTCAAGGTGACTACAGCAGACTGCTTTAGATTCATAAAACATCCTGCTGTGTCACTTCCTCACCTCAGCTCCCTTCTTGCTTGACTTGTTGCATTTCAGCGACGTCCTTTTCTTCTTTTTACTGGACTTTAAAGACGTCTGCAGAAAGGAAGACAAACGACATCCGTGGCTGTATCTGTGTCACGGCCATTTTACCGTGCGAGGACCCAAACCCAGTCACACACTGAACGCCTGGAATTAAATCATTTTTAGAACAAGGCCACTTTGGCCACTGATAAATACAAATTTATTGGGGCATTAGGGACAAAATGTAGGACACTGAGGCCAAAACTACTGAACTGTATATATAGTACATAAAACATGATCTCAACAGTAATACAGCAGTAATTTTAACCCATAAACATCAGATATAATAATAATAATACATTTTATTTATAAAGCGCTTTTCTGAATACTCAAAGACACTGTACAATATAAGAAGAATACAAGAACATCAATCAGTAAAACACTATAAAACAGTACATTTCATACGTTAAAAACACATTAGACTGAGCTAGATTAATATATATTAATATTAAAACACTGAGGGGAACATTTTACTGCACGCTGACTTCTTTCAGTAAATGTTATTATAAAACTTTTACCTCAGTGAGGTTTATATCGCAGTATTTGGTTGTTATTAGTACTTTAATGAATGGACCTGAATACCTCACTGTACCTGTGTGTTACCGTCCTTCCCACTGCAGTGAAGAGTCCAAGAAGACGCTGAAGTAACGTTACACAAACAGCAAACACATACAGTAAGTATGAAACTGCAACCTGAGCTTATTACTTACTGTATGTATAAGTGTTGCTCTGCTAAAGGATCACTGGCCCATCGTTTCTGCTTTAGCCCGACATTATACGACTTTTGGATAGTAATCTTGGAGTGGTTCTCAAAAGCCTGTTCCAGAGATATTCAACCCAACCACAATCTGACCATCTTTGGATGCTCTGCAGAGACCTTTGAGCTGCCGTACGAAGCAGATTGCTTTGCGCTTAGCAATGATGGTTGCTAAGAAACTTATTCTTCTGACCTGGTAGTCTCCCCCCGGCTTTGTGCATTGGCTCAAGGAGATGTTATATAAATGGAAAGACTGCGTTGTACAAACCCAATACACTGAATAGATTTGAGAGAATATGGAGACCTTTCTTAGCACAGTGCCAAATTACCCCACATCCACAGGGACTTGCCTGGATACATGAGTGGGTGTTTAACTCAATTCACTTGTCCATGCTACTTTAGCTTGCTGCTCCTGAGATGTTAACATTGTGACATCTTTGGAATATTGTGTCTGGCAGCCTTGTTTTGTTTGTGTTTTATTTTGATTGTTTTGTATGTCTTTTCAATTTATCGTGTTGTTGTAAAATTTAAAGTATAAAGTATAAAAAACGTTATGTCTGACTGAAGGAACCAAACTACACTTCCGTTAATGTTCCAAAAAGATGCTAACAACGTTAGCTTTCTGAACGTCTCTGGTTACAATATATTTGTAGGAGCTCTGCTGTTGATGTCCAGTGTGATCAGACACTGGGAAATGTGACTTTGTTTATTTGCTGCGTCTCCTGTAGTTTATTGTGGAAATGCACAACTTTTATTTTAAAGAACAGTTCATATTATAGAAAGGGTATTATAGCTACTGTGGCCCTGACACTCACACTGTGGGGACCGATAAGCTGAACCCGACAACTTTCAGTTTTTATGACCAAAACAAACAATGTGAAGGATCATCATGTTTTGTTCGACTTCATATTTACAGAAGACGGCGCTCAGAGTCTGTAATCCAACCTGCTAACATGCTAACAAGCAACAAGTTTGCTGTCACTTAATGAAAATTCACATTTTATATTTTGATGTTTTTGAGGATAATTTCACAGTTTGGAACAAACTGAACATACAGGAACACAACTAAGTAGTTTTAAAAGTTATTTAAGAAGATTTTAATACATATACATTTATATTATACTGCCTTACTCACACGTATAGGGTGGAAAGGTGAGTGTGTGAGTGCGTGAGTGTGTGTGTGAGTGTGTGAGTGTGAGTGTGTGTGTGTGTGTGTGTGTGTGTGTGTGTGTGTGTGTGTGTGTGTGTGAGTGTGTGTGTGTGTGTGTGTGTGTGTGTGTGTGTGTGAGTGTGTGTGTGTGTGTGTGTGTGTGCGTGTGTGTGAGTGTGCGTGCGAGTGTGTGTGTGTGTGTGTGTGTGTGTGAGTGCGTGAGTGTGTGTGTGTGTGTGTGTGTGTGCGTGAGTGTGTGTGTGAGTGTGTGAGTGTGTGTGTGAGTGTGTGAGTGTGTGTGTGTGAGTGTGTGTGTGTGTGTGTGTGTGTGTGTGTGTGTGTGTGTGTGTGTGTGTGTGTGTGTGTGTGTGTGTGTGTGTGTGTGTGTGTGTGTGTGTGTGTGTGTGTGTGTGTGTGTGTGTGTGTGTGAGTGTGTGTGTGTGTGAGTGTGTGTGTGTACCTGTGTTCTGCGGACCCTGATGATCCAGGTAGGAGGGATGATGACGGCAGCGTGAGCTCCCAGAGAGCAGCACTCCTCGATCTGCTGCAGCATGAAGCACGTCACCTTGTTGTGATACTGAAACACAGACAGGAAGTGACCTCGCTGTGATACTGAAACACAGACAGGAAGTGACCTCGCTGTGATACTGAAACACAGACAGGAAGTGACCTCGCTGTGATACTGAAACACAGACAGGAAGTGACCTCGCTGTGATACTGAAACACAGACAGGAAGTGACCTCGCTGTGATACTAACAGTGCTACACTGTAGCAACGGCATGTTAGCATTGTAATTAGGAACATGTTAGCACACTGATGTTAGCATTAGCAAGTTGGACATTTTAATATGGGGCCTTATGGAGGTTGACTCACAGCTGGAGGCAGCCTCTAGTGGCCGTTAGAGGAACTACATGTGGTTGAACCAAGCACCATGTATTGTTTATTAGGTGTGTTATTGCTTATTTAGAAACTGTCAAGTCAAGTTTCCAATCAGATTTAGCACAATATTTAACCATTATGAAAAATGTAACCACTACTGTTGAACTGTTGGTTGTTGTTCTTTTTCAGCCGGACTTACCGCCTGTTTGCACCATGAGCAGCTGATTGCAACAATCTCTTTACTGTGAAATGAGAACTTCTGTTGAAATCCCTGTTGGTGAGAGCAGAAGAGACTCCGTTAGCTCTCAGGCTCTGCGTCATTTGAGTGGAAACATTTTAGCAACTGATGGAGGCTCACCTTCCCACACTGTCGACACTTCCCCGTCTGACGTCTCCTGTGGACCCAGTGGTGTCGCACAACATTGGACTGAAACACAAAAGCGTGTTAATAATTTCCCACGATCCATTGTGCGGATTATAGCTGTTATTAGAGAGTCGACATGGCGGCACAAATGAGTTGACCGACCTCTCGGACGGCTCGAGATCCTGGTTCCCTGAACGACGGCTTGCACCTGAAATTGATCTGCAGAGAGAGACGAGACTGTGAGAAGAGACTAAATAAAAATCTCTGAGTGAATCCAGAGATGATCCAGAGTTTACCTTCTCTAGCTGCTCCATGCACATGGTGTGGACGGATATCTTACATCCAGCACATTTCTTCCTCGCCACTGACTTTTGCTGTAGAAAACAACAACAGGTTTCTTGATGTGTATGTATATATTAAATTTGCATTAGAGCACCAGCATCTCAATAGGCGCTACGTCCCACCAGACTCCATAAAACCAGTAATTTAACACTTCAAAGACAAAATAAAACTCAACAAAACCGTCTCTGTTAGTCTTTCCAAGAATCACCAACTCTGGTTTGGTGAAAATAAATCCTGAATTATATTCAGTAATTATCATTAATCATTAAAATGACATCATTTATGTGGATGTCGTCATTTTGCTTATTTCATTACTGCTGTACAATTATTATTATTCCATTAATGTACTGAAGCTCAAAGCGGAGTTAACCTTCTTAGATTCATTGTACACTTTTAGTTATTAATGGAAAAAAGAACTGTACCATTGTTATTCAATTCAATTCAATTTTATTTGTATAGCGCAAATTCATAACAGAAGTTATCTCAGGACACTTTTCAAATAGAGCAGGTCTAGACCGAACTCTTTATAACTTATAACCTTATAACCTATATATAACTTTAAATATTGTTGGGAAAGTTTAAATATTTAGTTTCTTAGTAAAGTGAAGTGAAACACAATGTTCAGCCCCCAGTAATTTCCATACAGATACATTTATCTAACAGGCTCAATGTGTTTCTGACCACAGGGGGCGCTGTCACTCACCAGTGATTTGGCGATGCAGTACTGCTCTCCAACATAACAGAAGTCTCCAGACCCACTGGTCTCAAACCAAATGTGGTCTCCAAACTGGGCGTTGTCCTGTGACAGATACCGACAGTCAATCAAAGAAATTAACAATAATAATCTAATATATAATATACTGTAATATACAAAGTCAAATATAACAATAAACTAAAAACCTTTAAATATTAATTATAAATGTGTCTTAAATAATGTTTGCTTTAAAGCAATGGGGCGGTAACAGTGAACCTTCATAAGCCCCGCCCCTTCTGCTCTGTGCTCCAATCACAGTGGAGCTACTTGACCAACTTCCTCCTTTCCTGTACTTGTGCTAAGCTAATCTATGTTGGAAAGACAACCACATTTTGGAAATGGTTAAAACAGCTAGCTAACTAGCTAGCCAATTTACTGGCTAATTGTTAGTTACATCAATCTTAAAACAGCGAGTTACATCTGATGGCTAATGTTAGCAAAATGATCTAATCAGCTAGCAAACGGATGCTGTATATTAGTTAGCTACTTAGCTAATGTTGTGCTACCGAGCGAGCTAACTAGCTCTTTCTTTAAAGAAACAATAGTCAGAGCAGAATATACATTTTAGAAAAATGGGGGGGCAACGGCACAACACATTAAAAGTATTAATAATAAATTAGCTAGCTATTTAAACGATGACAGTGACTCACGCTCCAGTCCACGGTGCTGTTGGGTTCCTGCAGCGCGTCAGTCGATCCAGACGTTGAGACGTTGGGCTGCGCCGCCGCGTGCTGCAATCCCGACTTTGCGATGGCTTTCCTGAAAACACAAGAACAGGAAAAACCTTTTAAGGAAACAGACTTCAGATCAGTTGAACGTATTATTAACTGTGTGTCTTGAAAAATTGAATTTGATTGAAAAAAGATTTTTTCTAATTCAGCTGAATAATTTCCACACTGTGGTTGTTGCTATGGTTACAGTGGTGATAAAACTGTTACCTGTCAATCAGAAGCACATATTCTGATGGTGTATTAATAATATATGACTGTACACTCGCAGTCACCTGCTCAGACACACAGAAACACGCGATGCATTCATGAACCTTAACAACGGAGCTGATCAGCGTTCGCTCAGTGAGTCATTGTTAGCGCCAGCTGCTAATGAGCTTCAGCTCCATGGAGGACGTTTGCGTCTGCAGCAGAATCTCTTTAGACTGATTTATTTTTATGGAATACCCAGGCAGGATATAAGGTATATATTTAGGTGTATAAGGCTAATACATATTATAAAGACCTTGTTTAAAATATTATTGTTTACTCATTTTTCAACCATTTCTTGATGACTTTTAGCTGTTTTAGCTATTTGAACCATTGACTTTGAGCTGATCGCTGCACTTGTACGTTCACGGTGGTTTGGCCTCAACATTTAACCAGAGGAAGATCCATTCATATATTGTGGGTGCATTCTGTTTGTACTGGTGTCCCCCCCCCAAACACTGAAGGACTGGATCAATAATGATTGGATGACTGATTATTGACAGGAACTGGAAGGCTTAGAGTGCCTCCTTTTCAAGATTTAGGAAAGAGCCTCACACAGGAGGAATAACCAGACAGATCAAATATCCCCTCATGTGAATATGAATAATTAATGAATAAAATCAGTGACATTAACACTCGGCTGACTTTACATACAGCAGAAAGCCACTCCAGCTCTCCAGTTGGGAGTCGTAGGCGTGGGGCCCCAGCGGGCTGAAGGCTCCTGGGCCCCTGTAGAAGGCCGCGTGGTTGAGGTAGTAGACTGAGCTCTTGCGACTGGGCAGTGGAGGCCCTCGTCCTGGCCAGGGGCTCCCGACCTTGGAGATGGTGGAGATCCTTCTCCTCTTCCTCTGGCTGGAGGCGCGGTAGCGGCTGTAAGGAGCAGAGTCTCCTGTGAACACCTGAGAGGAGTTCCTCCGGAGGCAGCGAGGGGCCCTGATGAGGGGCCGCGATGTTGACGGAGGCTGGGGTGTTTTCCTCATTACCTGCAGGGCGGTGGAGGAGGAGGGAGTGGAGGCGGGGGAGAAGTGCTGATCAGGAGACATGGAGGTGTCGTCCTCCTCCTCCGCCAGCTCCTCCGCCTCAGACAGCTGGCTGTCCTCTGATTGGCTGTCGTTAGCGGTGGAGTAATCGCTGCCGTCGTCGTCTCCGTCTGAGGGGAGGCTGCTGGAGCGCGAGAACATCCTCCTGTTGTTGGCCCCTCCCCTCATCTCCACCTGCTGCTCTCCAGCCGGTAGCCCCGCCCCCATGCCGTCCTCCTCGTCCTCCTCGGCCATCTGGATCAGACTGGCCAACAGCATGGACGGCCCCAGCAGGTGGGTGTCGATTGTCCGCAGCTTCCCCACCTTCTTCCTGCACACGGCGAACCTCGGGTTGACGTTGGGGGTGGTGGTGCTGGAGCGTCTGCGAGTGTGTCCCCTCCACCTGTTGCGTCTGGGTGTCTTTGCCAAACGGCCGCCTCCCGCACAAGGCAGAAGTCCTGCTGGGAGCTGCACGCTGGAGCGCCGCCGCTGGGTCAGGGTGGAGGAAGGGAGTCCAACGCTGGACCTCCGGCGCGCCTTGCTGGTCGGGACGGCCACGCTGGGCCTCCGCTGGCGGCAGGATTCCTCCACCTGCAGAACGGCTTCCTTCCTCTTAAAGTGACGGCGGAAAAAAGTGTCCATGTTGGACGGAGGGAGGGGGGGGCAGACTTCTGAAATCCTCTCTGGCTGTTGGGCGTAAACAGGAGTTAGCCTGCAGTGCAGAAGCTGTTCACACTAGAAATCAATGACACATAAATGATCTTTCTCTCCGGGAGATAACGTTTGTTCATCCATCAAAAACAGAAACACTTCATAAAGAGAGCCGAAGTGAAACTGTGACTCCTCCAGAAAACTTACTCCGAATAAGTGCGGTCCCCGAACAGTCGATTAAACCGTTAGCTTCAGACCGTCGCGGGTTAAACCAGACTGAGTGTCTGTGTTTAGGTCAGGTGAGCGTTAAGGTTATGGAAGAAACCGAGTTACGATGGCGCACGATGGGAGTGGTAGTTATTCTGTGCTCAAAGTAATTGTTGTTTAACTTCTGATTCATCTCAGAATCCAGAAAACAAACTCCAGGAACACAAATACAACACTGAATGAGAGACTGAACTGAAGCTAGTGGAGCGGAGCAGGCGGCTGCATCGGGATCCCACAGGACGCAAATCTCGCAGGAGAGGGCGATCAAAAAACAACAAACTGCAGCCTCTGGATTAATCTGGTCTCCATCAGAAGGAGGCAGAATCAACAAATGAAGCTGAGAGGAAGATAAAAGTTGGATTTTACAAAACAAGCCAAGTTTGGTATTTAGAGACGTTCCTACGTTGTTACTGACAGTAAAATAACATCTGTTCACCAGCGGGACGGAGGAGCGAGGCTAGACAGGAAGTGATGTCACAACTTCGGCTCTCTATAGAACTACTGGACCACCTTGCCCTAAATGGGATTTACCGCTTTTATGACCCGGTAACGTTATTTTATATAGACTGTTAATATGAATATAAAGTTACGGAGAGCCTAAATGTGCCAGTACTCACCAGTACTGAATACCAGCACCAAACCACCCCCACACATTGACACCTTGGCACAAATGGGCTTCCATAGAAAATTGCCTTTTTAAAATGTATAAAAAACAGTAAAAGACTTACAGTTATGGTGATGTTGTGGTTGAGATTGTGCTGAATTAGGTTACTGGCACCAATTTTGGTCCAATTCAGGAACTGTTAAATAAATAAATAACACTTTATATATATATATATATTTAAATATATAATATATATATATAATTCATTTGAAAGCCTTGTTCTTAGTCTTTCTCACCCAAACTGGAAAACACTCCAGCCAGTTCTATTTGTTATAGTGTACCGCGCTCCTGGACCGTACTCTGATTTTATATCTGAATTCTCAGAGTTTCTATCAAGTTTAGTCCTTAAATCAGATAAAGTAATTATTGTAGGTGATTTTAATATTCATGTGGATGTTGACAATGACAGCCTTAGTAACGCATTTATATCGTTAATAGACTCAATTGGCTTCTGTCAGAGTGTAAATAAACCAACTCATTGTTTTAATCACACTCTTGACCTTGTTTTATCATATGGCATTGATATTGAACATTTAATAGTCTTCCCACATAATCCTTTCCTATCTGACCATTATTTAATAACTTTTGAATTCATACTATTAGATTATAAGCCATTAGGCAAAACTTCCTACAGCAGATGTCTATCTGACAGTGCTGTAGCTAAATTTAAGAAGGAGATTCCTTCAGTGTTTAATTCAATGCCATGTCTGAATTTAACAGAGTCCTATAACGACTTTAGTCCCTCTGAAATTGATAATCTTGTCGATAGTGCTACAGGCTCACTACGATCAACATTAGACTCTATCGCTCCTATAAAAAGGAAATGATTAAAACATAGGAGACTAGCACCTTGGTATAACCACCAAACCCGCCAGTTAAAACAAATAGCTAGGAAATCTGAAAGGAAATGGCGCTCTTCCAAATGATCAGAATATCGCTCAAATTGGCAAGATAATCTTAAAACTTATAGAAGGGCCCTCCGTAATGCCAGAGGAGCCTATTACTCAGCACTAATAGAAGAAAATAAGAACAACCCTAGGTTCCTCTTCAGCACTGTAGCCAGGCTGACAGAGAGTCACAGCTCTATTGAGCCACATATCCCCATAAACTTAAGTAGCAATGACTTTATGAGCTTCTTCTATAATAAAATTATTACTATTAGAGAGAAAATTAATCACCAACTGCCATCAACAGTTATCAGTGGCTCCAAGTTCAGGGACTTCTGCCAATGTAAACTTAGATATATATTTAGACTGTTTTTCTGCTATCGATCTTCATCAGTTAACTTCAATCATTTCTTCATTGAAGCCATCAACCTGTCTATTAGACCCGATCCCAACTAGGCTGCTTAAAGAAGTTGTTCCCTTAATTGGCACTTCTTTACTGGATATGATTAATCTTTCTTTATTATCAGGATATGTACCACAGTCCTTTAAAGTAGCTGTAATTAAACCCCTTCTTAAAAAGTCCACTCTTGACCCAGGGGTTTTAGCCAACTATAGACCGATTTCTAACCTCCCCTTCCTCTCTAAGATTCTGGAGAAAGTAGTCGCCAAAGAGTTGTGTGACTTTCTACATAACAATAGCTTATTTGAGGATTTTCAGTCAGGATTTAGAGTTCATCACAGCACAGAGACAGCTCTGGTTAAAGTTAATAATTACCTTCTGATTGCTTCTGACAATGGACTTGTCTCTGTACTTGTATTATTAGATCTTAGTGCTGCATTTGACACCATTGACCATAATATTCTTTTACAGAGACTTGAGCATCAAATTGGCATTAAAGGAACCGCACTAAGCTGGTTTAAGTCATATTTATCAGATCGTTCGCAGTTTGTACATGATAACAATGAATCTTCAATAAATACTACAGTTAGTCATGGAGTTCCACAAGGTTCTGTACTTGGACCAATACTATTTACTTTATATATGCTCCCTTTAGGCAACATTATTAGGAATCACTCCATTAACTTTCACTGTTATGCAGATGATACGTAGTTATGTCTATCAATCAAGCCCGATGAAATTAATCAATTATCTAAATTACAAACATGTCTTAAGGACATAAAATCCTGGATGAGCTGCAATTTTCTGATGTTAAACTCAGACAAACTCAAACTAAATTCTTGTTCTTGGCCCCAAAAACCTTAGAGACTCACTGTCTAAAGATATAGTTACTCTAGATGGCATTAACTTGGCCTCTAGCACCACTGTCAGGAATCTTGGAGTTATCTTTGATCAGGATTTGTCATTTAACTCCCACATAAAGCAGACCTCTAGGACTGCCTTCTTTCATTTACGTAATATTACAAAAATTAGACACATACTATCACAGACAGATGCAGAAAAACTAATCCATGCATTTGTTACTTCAAGGCTGGATTACTGCAACTCTTTATTATCAGGTTGCCCCAATAAGTCCATTAAAACGCTCCAATTAATTCAGAACGCTGCAGCACGAGTACTGACAGGAACTAGAAAAAGAGATCACATCTCTCCTGTACTAGCTTCTCTGCATTGGCTCCCTGTAAAATGTAGAATAGAATTTAAAATCCTCCTCCTCACCTATAAAGCTCTTCATGGTCAGCCCCCTTCATATCTTAAAGAGCTCATAGTACCCTATTACCCCTCTAGAACACTACGTTCTCTGAATGCTGGGCTACTTGTGGTTCCTATAGTCTCTAAAAGTAGAACAGGAGCCAGAGCCTTCAGTTACCAAGCTCCTCTCCTGTGGAACCAGCTTCCAGTTGTGGTTCGGGAGGCAGACACCCTCTCCACATTCAAGAGTAGGCTTAAGACATTCCTCTTTGATAAAGCTTATAGTTAGGGCTGGATCAGGTGAGTCCTGAACCATCCCTTAGTTATGCTGCTATAGGCCTAGACTATGGGGGGATTTCCCATGGTGCACTGAGCTCCTCTCTTCCTCTCTCTTTCTGCACTCATTCATGTCCCATTAATGCATGTTACTAACTTCACTTCTTCCCCGGAGTTCTTGTGCTTTCTCGTCTCGCAGGTTCTTGTCGATCCTGGTGGAGCCTCCTGCCATGGTCCTGCTAGATTGCCATTGCCAATACTGTTGTTGCTGTGCACCTGTTTGTCTGTCTGTCTGTCTGTCTGTCTGTCTCTCTCTCTCTCTCTCTCTCTCTCTGTCTCTCTCTCTCTCTCTCACCCCAACTGGTTGAGACAGACGACCACCCACCTAGAGCCGGAGGATCTGTCCTAGGTTTCTGCCTTTTAACAGGCAGTTTTTCCTTGCCCTTGTCGCCAAGTGCTTGCTCATGGTGGTACTGTTGGGTCTCTGTAATTAATGTTTTAAAGAGTTCAGTCTAGACCTGCTCTATTTGAAAAGTGTCCTGAGATAACTTCTGTTATGAATTGGCGCTATACAAATAAAATTGAATTGAATTGAATTGAATATAAAACCCCAATAAAATAACAACCCCTAAAATCTTTCTTCTTTTCCAGAATTACATAAATATTGACGGCGGCCTCTAAGAGTTCAGCTCCTCGCTGTTAAACACAAACAGGTCTTAGTCTCACGTTAAGTTGTGTCTTTGTGTTACTGAGGTATCAGATCACTGCTTCAACCTGAAACATGAATTATAAAACACTCAAAGGAAGAGTGGGGGGTCCTCTCCACAGGGGGAGCAGCACGACGACAGGAAGGAACAATAATTAAGGCCCCGGCTACCTGCTGTCTTCTCGCCCTCCAAACAACAACATTACACCAGTAATTAGTCTGTGACGACAGCGACCGAACGGCACCAGCAACATCCTCTCTGTCCTCCACCGACTGACTGAACACACAATGCCTGCACGCTGTCCTGATAACTATAAACAGATAATACGGTTCATTTGTTACAGCAGACAAACCAACCAACCCCAACACTCTTGGCTAGTATGAAGCTAACGTTAGCTTTGTACTGCTACATCATTTATTGTTATTTGTCAGAATACATAAGTTGGTCTCATGGATCACATTAGCTTGGGAAGCTAACATTAGCCAACTAACATATCCACTCAGATAGTATTTTGCTAGCGATAATGTTAGCAAGCGAGCAAGCAGGTTAGCCAACCAGATCATCCTGAAGTCTGGATCAAGCTA